CAGGCGGCCCATTGCCACCATAGGGCCCGCCCTTGCTGCCCCATTTCTGAAAGCTGTGGCCTCCATCTTGGGACACCTTTGCCATCCTCTTGGGTTACCTTTGCTATCACCACCACCATCGTTAGCTGTGGCAACCTCTATCCTGGGATCCTGGCAGGGCCTAGAAGCTCAATACCAAGGTATCTATAGTCTCCTAACACTCTCCCCTCCATGAAAAAACAAGGGAAGAAAGTGCTCTAAATAAACCAAGATACTACATTAATAGAATCCATACCAGCACAGTAGAGAAGGAGTTCAGGGTGTACATAGTTAAAATGATTTGTGAAGCAAGGATGATACAAGAGAGCAAACATGGCAACAAAATATCACCTCAAGAGCTATGAGAGTAAATACAGGAAGCAAAAGATTACTTCAATAAAGAGAGATTCTGGGGGAAAAACCAGAAATCCTTAAAATGAAGGAAACAATAAACCAAATAAAAAACTCAATAGAAGCTATCACCCACAGACTAGAGAGATCACTTAGAATAAAGAACCTCAGACAATGAAGACAAAAAATATAATCTTGAAAATAAAGTTGATCACAAAGTGAAGATGGTAAGAAACCATGAACAGAACTTGCAAGCATTATGGTATAACATGAAAAGACAGAATTACCAGGTAGAGGAAGACACAGAGATACAAAGCAATCTATTCAATGAAATAATATCAGAAAATTTCCCAAACATGAAGAATGAAATGGAAAATCAAACACAAGAAGCTTACAGGACACCAAATGTACAAAATTACAACAGATCCACACCAAGGCACATTATAACGAAAATGCCTAGCATAGAGAATAAGGATAGAATTTTAAAGGACACAAGAGAAAAGTATTGGATTACATGTAGGGGGAGACCAATTCGGATGTCAGCAGATTTTTTAACATAAACCCTCAAAGCTAGGAGGTACTAGAACAACATATACCAAGCTCTGAAAGAAAATAGACACCAACCAAGAATCTTATAGCCAACAAAATTAAGCTTCAGATTTGATGATGAAATGAAAACCTTCCATGATAAACAAAAGTTAAAAGAATTTACATCTAAAAAGCCTGCACTATAGAACATCCTCGGCAAAATATTCCATGAGGAGGAAATGAAAAACAATGAAAATCAGCAGAGGGATGAACTACACTAAAGGAAAAGCCAATCAAAGGAGAAACTAAGTCAAGTTAAAAACCAAAAATAAACCAAAATGACCAGGAATACAAGTTATGTCTCAATAATAACCCTGAATGTTAATGGCTTAAACTCATCGATCAAAAGACACAGAGTGGAAGATTGGATTTTTAAAAAAGACCCAGCAATATACTGCCTTCAAGAGACTCATCTCACAGGAAAAGACATTCACACACTGAAGGTGAAAGGTTGGAAAAAAACACACCACTCACATGTACTTCCTAAGCAAGCAGGGGTTTCCATCCTTATATCAGATAAAGTAGACTTCAAACCAAAGTTAGTCAGAAGAGATAAAGAAAGACATTTCACACTGCTTAAGGGAATCAAACATCAACAAGACATAACAATCATAAGTATATATGCCCCAAACAATGGAGCATCTATGTTCATCAAACAAACTCTTCTCAATTTCAATAATCAAATAGACCACAACACAATAATACTGGGTGACTTTAACACACCTCTCTCACCACTGGATAGATCTTTCAAACAACAACCAAAGAAACTATAAAATTCAATAATAAAATCAATAATTTAGATGAAATATGGAATATTTCATACATAAACAAGTGAATACACTTACTTCTCAGCAGCAGATGGATCCTTTCTAAAATAGATGATATACTATGTCACAAAGCAACTCTTAGCAAATACAAAAAAAAAAATAGAGATAGTACCCTTCATTCTATCAGATCATAATGAAATGAAATTAGAAATCATGAGAAAAATAAATAGGAGCTTCTCCAACACCCAGAGACTAAATGAACAATAGATAGTAGAAGACATCAGGGTAGAGATAAAAAAAATTCTTAGAAGTAAATGAGAACACTGATACATCATATCAAAATCTCTGGGACACTATGAAGACAGTGCCAAGAGGAAAATTCATTGCATTGAGTTCATTCATTAAAAGAATAAAATGTCAACAAATAAATGACCTCACATTACCTCTCAAATCCCTAGGAAAAGAAGAACAAATCAACACCCAAAGAAGCAGAAGACAGGAAATAATTATAATCAGAGCTGAAATCAATGAAATTTAAACAACAGAAAAAATTGACAAGAAGTTGGTTCTTTGAAAAAATAAATAAAATTGGTAAAACTCTTAGCCACACTAATGAAGAGAAGGAGAAAACTCAAAAATTACTAAATGCATGATGAAAAAGGGGAATATCACAATGGACATTATTGAAATACAGAAGATACTTTGAAAATTTATACTCCAATAAAATAGAAAATCTTGAAGACATCGACAAACTTCTAAAGTCATATGTTCTACTCAAACTGAATCAGGATGATATACACAAGTTAAACAGATCAATTTCAAGCGATGAAATTCCAGATGCCATCAGAAGTCTACCAACCAAGAAAGGTCCAGGACCAGCTGAGTTCTACAAGACCTTCAAAGAAGAACTAATAACAATAACTAATAACTAATAACTCCTCCAATTATTCCATGAAATAAAAAAGGAAGGAACCCTTCCAAACTCATTCTATGAGGCTAGTATCACCCTGATACCAAAACCAGATGAAGACGCATCAAGGAAAGAAAACTTCAGACCAATATCTCTGACGAACATAGATGCAAAAATTCTCAATAAAATTCTGGCAAATAGCATACAAAAGCATATTAAAAAGATACTGCACCACCATCAAATGGGGTTCATCCCAGGAATGCAAGGTAGGATCAACATATGGAAATCCGGCCAGGCATGATGCTGCATGCCTGTAATCCCAGAGGCTCTAGAGGCTGAGGCAGGAGGATCATGAGTTCAAAGCCAGCCTCAGCAAAGCTGAGGTGCTAAGCAACTCAGTGAGACACTGTCTCTAAATAAAATACAAAATAGAGCTGGGGATGTAGCTCATAGTCAAGTGCCCCTGAGTTCAATCCCAGGTATTCCCTCCAAAAAATATGGAAATCAATGTAATTCATCACATTAATACACTTAAAGATAAGAACTATATGATCATCGCAATAGATGCAGAAAAACTGACAAAATACAGCACCCTTCATGTTCAAAATACTAGAAAAACTAGGGATTACAGAAGCATATTTCAACATCATAAAGTCTATCCATGCTAAGCCCCAGGCCAACATCATTCTAAATGGAGAAAAATTGAAAGCATTCCCTCTAAAAACTGGAACAAGACATGGATGCCCTCTTTCACCATTTCTATTCAACATAGCCCTTGAAACTCTAACCAGAGCAATTACATAGACTTAAGAAATTAAAGGGATACAAATAGGAAAAGAAGAACTCAAACTATCACTATTTGCCGACAAGATAATTTTATGCTTAGAGGATCCAAAAAATTCCACAAGAAAACTTCTAGAACTAATAAATGAATTCAGCAACGTAGTAGGATATAAAATCAACACTCATGAATCAGATGTATTTCTGTACATCAATGACAAATCCTCTGAAAGAGAAATTAGGAAAACTACTTCACTTACAATAGCCTCAAAAAACCAAAAAATACTTGGGAATCAATCCAACAAAAGAGGTGAAAGACCTCTGCAATGAAAACTACAGAACACTAAAGAAAGAAATTAAAGAAGTCCTTAGAAGATGGAAAAATCTACCTTGTTCTTGGATAGGCAGAATTAATATTGTCAAAATGGCCACACAACCAAAAGCACTATACAGATTTAATGCAATGGAAATAGAAAAAGCAATCATGAGATACACACACACACACATATATATAATCTTTCCACATGATTTTTTGATGTTTTTTTTGTCTTATTTTGTTGTTGCTTTTAGTGGTACTGGGGATTGTATCCAGGGGCACTTTACCTCTGAGCTACATCTCCACATTTTAATTTTTTTATTTTGAGACAGGTCTCGCTAAATTTCTGAGGCTGATCTCAAACTTGCAATCCTTGTGCCTCAGCCTCCTGAGACAAAGGGATTAGAGGCATGCACCATGGGACCTGGCTTGAGTTAATTTCTGTGAAAGGTGTAAGACTGGTGTCTAGATTAATTTTTTTGGCATGTAGATGTTCAGTTGTTTCAGCACCGTTTATTGAAAAGACTGTCTATTTTCCTTTGAATTCCTTCTGTTTCTTTGTCTACATTTCTGTGGATCCATTTTCAGGGCTTTCTATTCTGTTCCATTGTTCTGTCTGTTCTTTCACCAATTCCACAATGTCTTAATTACTATAGTATTACAGTTAGATTTGAAGCCAGTAGTGTTAGTCCTCTGATATAGTTGCTGTATTTTTAACAATGAGTTGACTCTTCTAGGTTTTTTGCTCTCCAAATAAATTTCAGAATCAATTTGCCAATATCCCCAAAATAAGATTTTAAATTGGATTGCATTGAATGTATAGATCAAGTTAGAAAGAACTCACATCTTGATAATATGTGTGACCCAATGCATGAATGTGGACTATTTCTCATTTAGTTCTTTGATTTCTTTTGTAGTTTTTCTCACAAAGATTTTGTACAGATTTTGTTAGATTTATTCCTGAGTACTGAATTGGGGGGGGGGGTACTAATTTAAATATTATTATTTTAAATTTCAATTTCCAATTATTTTAAATTTTGGTATTTACAAAGTAACCTGCTGTGTTTCCTTGATTAGGCTGGCTCACTTCTGTTTTAATTATAAACACATGATAAAGTAATGTGGAACCTAAGTTACATGTTTTTTTTTTTTTTTTTAATCTTGAAATATTTCTAAAATTTGCTAATAAATTGTAAGGAACAAAAGATGCCTGAATCTACTTCAAAGAACTTAATCTCAAGTGAAGTAAAATCACAAATAATCAGCAAAATTCTTCATAACTTAGAGAAATGTTTATTTCATGCAAAGCTACATAATTTCCTATATTTTAACAACTAATCATATAAACATTTCAAAAATTCATTACATCACAATAAGTTACAATACTACAAAGGAGCTGCAAGTCAATAAATCTGTCAAATTCAAACTGAGAGAACATTATGCACAGATAAGGCCAATGATGCTAACTTACTTATAGATAGCACTTTGCAGCTTTCCCCAAATACATGTTTGAAATTGTACTGAGAATCTACATCTAAAGAGAAAAATAGTTCAATCTACAACCCACTGATCAGATAGGAAAACATCCGTCATTACATATCAGGTAATAATGACTGATTAAAATGAAATTTGGCATCATGCACCAAAAATGAACACAGTGAATGAACATTTTGAAAAATCATAATCAAATGCACATTTGAGAAATTTATCTTTTATTTCACCTAATCAACTGAATTAGAAGAAGGCAAAATAACAAGCACTTTATTAATGCAACATGGAAATTAGCCTTTTGGTATACTTTGCTTGGATATTGGTATATACAAAAACATACTGAAGAGATTGTGGGAATATTTCAAATCCACATTAGACTACTGAAGCTTAGAATTTATTGTCCTAAGGAAAAGGGTCTGGTCAGAACTTATTTGAGAAATAGTTTTAGACATTTTAAAAGCAAAACTACAATTACTTACAAAAACATTTATAAAAATTAAATACCATGAAGTAATAACATCAATATTAGAGTTCTTTTGTATTTTTCAATCCTATAATATATAAATATATGTTAGGGTACAGTAATTTTAAAAGCAAGTCCACATATTCTCTACATTCTAAAATGAGAAAATCCTTCAAGTTGGTTTCAAAATATGGACAAAAACAAATCCATTGGATTGCTTTAAAAAATAAATACACGGTCTCTCCCCTACAACTTAATATGCTAAGTAGGGAAGATGCTAGTCACCATTCTTGTGATAAATACAGATGTAAGTATATAGGTTGGTAAGATTTATGTCAATAATATCAACTCTAAATAGTGCTGTACAGTTTAATAAATTATGACTTTACATGTCTGCCACAGTAAGCCACTCTTTCTGTTCTTTTGCACCAAGTACAGTAAAATTTTCCTTTTACAAAATGATTTTAGATGAAGATAACCACAAAAGAAAAGGTTTTTTTTTTGGGGGGGGAGTGCTAATTTTTCCCAAAGAATGTATCACAAACAAATGTCTTTTAGAACACCTATGAAAAGAGAAAAATGTGAATAGTCTTTATTAAGAAATTTAAAATTATAGCAACACCTCAGTTTACCTCAATAGACAAATCTTTTGAAAATGGCGGGGGAAAATTTTTAGTTAAACCAGGCTAAGCACAGAAAGAATGTTCCCTTTGCAATAGAAAAAATAGGATCAGACTCATGTCTGTCCTGCTAAGAGAGATGACTCAAAAGGCCTGATTCTAGGAGCTGGAGAAGTGGGTTACACCGCCTAGTTTCCCAATCTTCTTGAAAAAGCCTCTGAGTTGAAGTACCCTACACAAAGGGGAATTCATATGGAAGATGCCTCTTATATTGTTTCAATTATCCTAAGGAAAGTTTTAATAATTTATATTATTTATGAATCACTTTTCATGAAAAAGGTCACAAGGTTCTTAACGTTTTGGGGTTTTTAAATTTGGAAATCCATTTCCTATGCTAAAACTTACTGAAAACAATTCATTTTACTGAAGTACTCTCCTTGGTGACCTAACAGACAACACAACTGAGCCAGCATACTTCACATTTACATCCAGATGTTGCTTAGCTATCTAGCAAAACCTGTTTCACTACTTTAAGTACAATACTGTTATTTCAAGTAGTGTGATTTGTAGTCAGAAGTAGTTCCTTTTGAGTGTACTGCTCATCAAAACAAATTTACACAAAAACAAATAGAAGAAAAATCTGTCAACACACTGAAGTCATACTAGAAAGAGGTCTCAGAAAGGAAGACATAAATAAAATGAGAAAAGGAGGCAGAAAAGAAAGACAAAACCCTAAATACATTTACTTCTTAACATTTAGGATTTAATATAATACGATCCATTATACTTTGGAGTTCAAGTATGCTAACATGTCTCAGGACAAATTTTGTCTCTTAGTGCAAAAATACACTTTCCCACTCAAATCACAAGTACAAAACTTAACCTTACTAAACAGTGTGAATCCTAATAGAGAGTTTATTTTTCTCTTTAATATAGTAATCAACATATCACAAGAACATTCTGTAAACTCATTAAAGGTATAAAAAATTAGATGTGCTATTAAAGAAAAATGCAATTTTTTCATTAACATGCTGAAACATAATTTTAAAGAAACATACACTGACTTTTCCTTTACATTGATTTGGGTATACATTCTGCATAAATTTTCGAACTGATGATCTAAACAAAAAGTAGAGGCCAAAAACAAATAGCAGCATTTATTTCTGAATGTTTGGATTATTGAATTGTTTGATTTATTCTTTTATAAAGCGAAAACCTTTAATGTTTTGATTTAGCTATTACTACTTTTGTGAAGTGAGGGCCTTCTGTGTGATGCAATTATTGTAATGCCCTTATTTTCATTTGGTAAGAGAGCCAATTTTAATAATTAGACTTTATCTCTTAAGAATTCTTTTTTTACAAAATGCTCTATTGATAACATGTTATTTAAGTAGTAAAAAAAGTTAATTAGTTAATTACAGGTGATTAAGTTAAAAGTTAATTATAGGTGATTCATGAAAATTACAGATTATAATTACTTTCTGCAATGGTTACTTTGAATTACTGGCTTGTAGAATAACCATACCTAATAACTATCTAAAAAAATAATAATAATTTAGAAAATTCTAACCAGATATTTATTAACATGTAAGAAAGACATCAAAAAGTAATTGCCAGAGGGCTGGGGATGTGGCTCAGTGGTAAAGCACTTGACTGGTATGCATGAGGCACTGGGTTCGATCCCAGGATACTAAAAAAAAAAAAAAAAAAGTAATTGCCAGAAATACTTTTTTCAAGAAGTGCATTTTGTATGTAAAGTAGATGAATTTGGTTGCAGTATTTTGCAACAGATGTCATTATATGTTAATAAGCTTCTCAAGATAGAAAAATGTGCCAGGCATGGTGGTGCACACCTGTAAGAGGTGTGGGAGGGTTGGGAGGCTGAGACAGGAGAATCCCAAGTTCAAAGCCAGTCTCACCAATGGTGAGGCACTAAGCAACTCACTAAGACCCTGTCTCTAAATAAAATACAAAATAGGGCTGGGGATGTGACTCAGTGGTCAAGTACCCCTGAGTTCAAACCTTGGTACCAAAAACAAAAAGGAAAAAATTTTTGCAAATACCATGGGTTTTCTACACAAAGTGGTTTAAAAAAATATTAACTTAGACCTCCAGAAATGAACTGAGTCTTTAGGGGTTAAATCATTGTCTTCTGAACTCAAATTTACCCAGCAAAAGTAACTTTTGTATATGATTGTATACAAAATCCTATAAGATAAATTCTGCTTTAAAATTTGAATACTCTGGATCACTGAAATAACCATGAATTATTTTGGAAATAATTCAAAAGTCATAATTGAACATATACTATCTGCAAAGTATATGTGTATACATATATGCTTCAATTATTATAATGATAAAAATTTAATAGTAAAGGAAAGAAGTAAGATTCCTTTATATATTCTTATCAATTTACCTTAGGGTGCTATAAAAGATAGTATAATAGTAATTGGAAATTTTCTTTTTTGTTTCTACTTGTACAACAGCATCAGAATATCATGGAAAAACCTGATGAGAAACAACATTCTGCTAAGGAAAAATATTACAAAGTGAACCAAACACTAAATAATAAAACACAATTTTCATGGGACTTCTGATGAATTAGTCCAAAAAGAGGTTTTTTTTTTTTTGCTCTGTGGACTTGTGGTCTTCTGTGTAATAATGAGAAATCAGACCTCTTTCTGGGAAGATCATTTCTACCATGCAACACCTTCAAGCACCACTAGGAAAAATAACATAGCTAACAACTTGTTTTTGTCTTTCTAAATTCCAGTGCATCAACTCAATTTCCTCACAATAGTTTTGTGAGGTAGATCTGTAGATAAACAGCAGTGTCATCTTCAATTGCAAATGAAGAAATTGAGGCACTGAAAGGTCACATGATCTGCCTAAGGTAAATTCTGAAATTACAAATGGTATTAAATTACTGCTTCTGGCCTACTGCTCTCAGACCACACAGCACAATAAAAGGTATAGGTGTCCTCCTCAGGCGTGATGGCGTGTGCCTGTAATCCCAGAGGCTCAGAAGACTGAGGCGAGAGGATCACAAGTTCAAAGCCAGCCTCAGCAATGGCGAGGCATTAAACAACTCAGTGAGACCCTGTCTCTACATAAAATACAAAATAGGGCTGGGGATGTGGCTCAGTGGTTGAGTACCCCTGAGTTCAATTTCTGGTAACCCCTCCACCCAAAAAAAAGGTATACGTATCCTCAAATAAGCAGTCTCTATGACCTTCAATCAATAGTAAATATATCCACTGATAATTATTTTAAAGGGACCAAATATCAAAGATTATAAAAACACAAAATTTAAAAAAAATCAGATAATTAGGATGACGTACTATTTTTTTCAGTATCTTCATAGAACTGTCTTTAAAACATTACATGATAACACTCATTAAAGAGAGAAATGAAAATTTTAAATTTATGACTCAAGAAAAGATTAGCTTCAAGAAACATAGAGCACATTATTAGGATGACCATATAATTCATCTTCAAACTGACACAGCTGAGAGTGAAAGTAATAATTACAAGGATAATAGGTATTAAACTGAAACTTGATCTGGGCAAGCTCAAGTATGGTCATCAAATATAGCATGGGATTTGAAATATTGTACAAATATTTCAGTGCCACAAAAACTTCTCTGCCAAGCATGTTACATTTAATCATGTTCACTTTGCAATAAAGCTATGATGTTTTAAAATAAATATCTAACTTTGACTTAAACAAAAAGATTAAAACAAGCAATTGAAAATAATAAGCATGTTTAACCAACAAGTTATTATTTTACATTTTCATTCTAATTCAGTTTTCTGTTTTCTATAAACAACAATTTAAGTGCTAGCAATAAAAGTAAATGGATTCATTTCTTAACCTTTGAATAACCAGATTTTTCTTTTAAAAAGTGTAAACAGGCACCTTTAAATATGAGAGAATTTTTGGAACTCTTTGGTTATTAAAACAAATAAAACTATTCACCATTAATGCTTAGAATTTCTCCTTCAATGGAAAAATCAACACTGAAATCAATATACTAAATGCTAAAAGTAAAAATTTCTCTCTTAAATGAAATTGTTTTACAGAGGAATACCAAAATCATAAAAAATTCCATTTACTACAAGGACTGAAAGAATACTGTATTACTTGATTAGAGTATACATCCTAAAGACACTAATGCTATCAGTTAAATTATAATTTTAGTAATGCATGCAAAAACCTCCACTAATTTACACACAGCCTTGAAAAAGAGCTTTTTTACATTCAGTTATGTCTGATAAGCAAGTCTTATTTTAAGACATAGGTTTTGAGAATATGGTTGTTATCTGAGGTCTCCACTCATTTATATTTCTTTGGGAAATATAGGTTGAACATACTTTTTAGAAACAGCAAAAATATAATCACAATAATAAAACTGTATAATATTATTTAGTATGACTTATGGCTTTCTTGGACCTTTAATATAACTCTCCTGAAAAAAAATAACTGAAACAAACTGGATTACATGTTCTCAACATATACTGATCTTTATCATGAATTAAATCCTTCTATTGTGACCGTATTCCTAAGGCAGACACTTAGGGAATGGTGCAATAAATCCTAATAGAAAAGATGATACTCTAACTCAGGGAACAATAAACTATTATTACTAAGATGTAATTAATTCTCAGTGCCTTTTTGTTGTTCTGACATTTCACTGAGAGTACAGAGGAAATTCTGTGGCACAGAGATGTTCATAAAGACTGAACTTATGTTTTGATCTTCATTAGTCATTGCATGAATTTTTCCAGACTTTAGACATCATCAAATATTATGCTGGAAGACATTGAGAGATATCGTCCACCAGGTTGATACCTAAAAGATGAACATAAAGAAATGATCTGAAGCATCAAAAATAATAAAGACAGAAAAATGAGAACACATTAAAAGGAACTGACTATATAATTGGTAAGTACCATAAAATCTATTCAGTAGCTGAAAGCAGGAACTTACCTTCCAAGTGTATTATCCAAAAGGACTTAATTATAAATCAACCAGCAACTGTCTTAGAGCTGTATAATACATACATGTAGATACATGTATGAAAGAGTGAAGAATATAAAAAAATGGGGAAGGGATGTAAGACACATCCAGGAAATTAATCAATTTCATAACCACTCTTAATTGTTGAATATAAATAGAATATTCTAGGTTTTTTTGCTAGTTATAGGCAATATGGTAAATATCTTTATGCATGTGGTATTTTGCTTTTATTATTTTCTCATAGAATACTTGCTAATGGAACAGCTTCCAAAGTAAAAGTAGAGTTTGCTCTATTAGAATGAATGCTTGACTTGACATTTAGGCAAATTACTACTATGCCTCTCTGGATTTAAATATAATTGGATTTTAAACTAAATATAAAATGTTAAAGTTCTTAGAATCGTGTCTGACATCAACACATAATCTTGCAGTTGTGGCTAAATATAATACGCTTAATACATAGAAATGTCAGGAACAGACATAATATTGCTATGATTATTTGCTATATATTTCAATTTTTCTTTCTTGTTTATAATACCACTTGTATACTTGTATTATATGAAAACACCAATTTACATTATCATTAATGAATACCTTAATGTTGTTTAATACATAACAGCATCAGAGGGTATAAAAAGGTTTCAAAGGTTACCAATATGCTTTTTATTAGTAGTAAAGATGTACTGTGTGTGTGTGTGTGTGTGTGTGTGTGTGTGTGTTGCTTGGTGTTAAAAAACAGGACCTCATACATATTAGGCAAGCGCCCTACCCAATGAGCTATGTCCCCAGCCCAATTTATATATCTTTTATGTTTATTTATTACTTGTTTTCAACTTTCTCAATCAGTGTGTTCCTAAAATTTCAGAGGAATGCTAGAGCCAAAAGGACTCAGCCAAAACTTACCTTCCTGATTCAGATTCAAGAGGATCATCAGTGAATGTTTCTGCATTAAAATCCAAAGGTTCTGCATCTTGGAGAAGTTCTATTCGGTCCCTTTCAGTTTTATTATTAGCTCTGGTATATTTGGATGCTGTTCAAAAGAAGAAAAAAATGTCTACTTCCCTATCACCTTTTAATTTGTGGGTCACAGTCTATAGACTCACAGAAAAAAAAAATCAAGATTATAAAGGAGCCAGATCTTGATTGTGAAAACAAATAACATAAGAAAAGATAACTAATGGTTCTTTAAAAATCAGATTAAAATTACAAACAGTATAATAGAATGTAATAACAAAAATTTCTCCAGTCTTGTAGTTAGATCTAGCTGAGAGGCAGATCTGGTACAAAGACTTAAATAGTATGAATCAGAGTTACTATTTAACTATGATATTGTAATAGGGAATTGTTCATTATCAAATCAAGTTTCAGTTGCTTTCATAGTGAATCTCATTTTTTTGGCTAGACTTTACAAGATAATAAACTCATCCTTTTAAAGAAAGGCCTTAGTTTTTTGTCCATGAGGTAAGAGTATGGGTGATACTGGCCAGCAAAAATAAAATTTAAGTTCCATATTTAATTCGAAATTTTCTAGTAACTGCATTAAAAAGTAAAAATACAAAGATAAAATGAACTTTAATATGTTTAATTTAATCCAATATATTCAAAATATTATCAACATGGGGTGCCAGCCACATTGCAAGTATTCAATGGTTACATGTGGCTAATAGTTATCATACTAATCAGTACAAATCTAGAGAACTAACTCTTCCTCTTCTACATAAATGGAAATTTCTTTCTTTCTTTTTTTTTTAAAGCAGGAAGCATTGTAGTATATCTTTATGTATTTATTTGAGGTGCTCAGAATGGAACCCAGGACTTCTTGCATGCCAGGCAGACACTCTTACCATTGAGCCTCACTCCCAGCCCATAGATGTGGATTTCTACATAACAACTTAAATTCTCACAATGTTGTTGTAAATCTAATCTAATCCAAATAGATTCAAAACAACTTCTAATATAGTTTATTTTAAAAACTTAAAGCACACTATCCATATTTTACATTTTTGTCATCTCAGACTCAGCTTTAAAGGAAGTCTTTGTCATGTTTCTCACTCATTCATTGAGCAAATTATGGTTAAATACCACATTCCAGGTTTTTCTCTAGTTCATCTAAGGCTTTATGCCTCCTCTCCTCTTAACCATTCCCCTGTACTCCCAGATCTTTCTATTCTATAAACTTCTACTCAGTGGTAAGAGTTCAAAATTTCTTTACAGATTCCTCTATTTCCTAGCTTTAACTAAAACTCTAGCCCTCTCCTTCTTAATTCTACCCTAAATATCATTTAAATAAACCCTTTTCTTTTTATCTTCAGGATCACTGCCTTATTTTAGGCCCTCCTTGTTTCTTAACTGCATTACTGTAACAGACTCTACAAAGTTTTTTATGGTTTTTCTTTTCTGAAAATTATGGCATCAAATTCATCTTTATCATGCTTCTTCCCAGATTAAAATCTTACCTTTAGGATAAAATCTAAACTTTTGAGCATGACAGTGTCTGTTCCTCCAACTATCTCTGTGGCTTTCTTTCGTATCAGCCAGCTTATGCTCAGGCTGCCATCACAGAGAAAGACATGCATACTTCTAAAGGCTCTTTCATGTCACTATGTCTTGCACTCATTCTGATTAGAACACTCTTTACCTAGCTAAATACCATTCATTCCTCAATGTTCAGACAAATGTTTACAGAAATATTTTTGTATTACACAACTCCTTTCCCAAGACAGAACTCTTTTTCCATTTCCCTAGGTAGGTTCCTTCAGTACCATGTGTGCACCCTTCAGTAATAACTCTTCTGACAAATCTAAATATTACAAATAATCTATAATTAAAATGTTGCTGACATTCCCATTTGCCTCTTATGTATAGTTTCCATCTGGAGAAATTCCCACCCCCCTCTGTTCATGCACATTATCCAATCTTTCTATTAGATATTTTAATGTACTAATTCATTCTACAGTCTAATAATTCCAACACTTGAGCTGCTTCTATGTCTAATTTGTTGACTATTTTATATTTTAAAGAAGGCTAATATTTTCTTAGTTCCTTGTGTATTTCATAATTTTGGTTAAATGCCAGACATTTTGTATAAAAGAAGAAATTAAGATAAATAACTGTTATGTGCTCAGAATGGGTCATCTTAGTGTTGTAGGATTGAATCAATTTAATCTGTATTTAATCTGGATTTGGACTTTGTTGTTGCTTTAGTTCCCTTAAATCTCCACAGATTTCACATTTCTCCTGCAATGAACTATCATTGCCTCATACCTGGGAGGGCCCCAAGTTGTTAGACGGTTTCTTTCAGTATTCTTTTCCACCTTCATATTTCAGCCACAGAGGGGGTTCTCCATTTTCTACTTCTCCAATAGTAGCCTAACATTGCGTAAAACTTCTTGTTGGGCTCAGCTTTCCTGCTCAATCCTCAGTCTTAGGCAGATTTCTGTGCACTGAGGCCTCAGTGGTGGGGCTCCTTCAGCAACATCATATCTCTCCCAGTGACAGACTTTGCCTTCTACACAGTACAAAGTCCTAGACAGAAATAGGTTTCTTGGCACCTTCCCAGGGCCAAATGGTTTCTGCCTTATGTCAGTACAGAGTCAGCACTATGGGAAAGTTTCTTAACACATACCAGTGACTGATGGCTTCTGCCTGGTATCAATTCTTTGCTAAATTATAAGCATCATGAGGACAAGAAATGTACCTTCTCTTTATCAGTGTATATATAGAAAGTACCTGAATACAAGAGTCAGCCAATAAACAATTGTAAAACCAGGTGAATACCCATATCTACAAAAAAAATATCAAGGTAAATAATAGAAACAAGTACCTGCCTAACACATTGAACAAGTGCTTTTATATTTAGGTTAGTATACTTATAGTATTCATTTGATGTCTTAATTTCTCCTTTTCCTACCAAAATGCACATTTGAGTTTACCCTTCCTTGTATATACTAAAGAATGTGAAAAAGGAAAGTCACTGCAGATGCACGTTTACAATTCTACAGAGACATTTCTGGAGGGGAATCCTAACTATCAGTCTCTATGCAAGTAAGCACAAGAAAAATATTTTAAAGCAAACTAGAAAATAAACTACTTACACCAATTGGTATTGATATCTGAGAAATTTGACTCTTTTGGGTCAGGATGAACATTTCTGTTTCTAGTGGAATCTTCTCTATTATGTCCATAACGTTCTTTCCATTCCTAGAAAAGAAACATAAATTAATATATAACAAAAGAACAGAGAATATTTCATCAGTGTCAAAAGTCTATATGCAGGATAATATAACAATCATTTTCTCTCAGAAATTTATTAGTAATAGTATAATTGCCATAGTGCCTTTAAAAATCAGATACTAAGCACTAGTGTTTGCCTAGCATGCACAGTGCACTGAGTTCAATCCTCAGTACCTTAAAAAAAAACACCAATGTTTTTATCTTCACATGATTTATTAAAACTAGCCTCTATAAACTTTAATCTTTTATTTTCAGAGACACAGACAAAGGTTTATTCAGGAAAACAGAGACACATTAAAGGGAGAATGTAGGCCATCTCCAGAGGGAGATACAGCCTATAAACTTTAATTCTTAACGAAAACATTTACAGACACTTGCCAGCTATGATTATGTTAAACTTTTATTCTAACTAAAATTTGAAACAGTATTCCAATAAACTTGTGGACTATGGAAAAACTATGAAATTATGTGATTAAGATTCTAATAAAAATTTCTTTCAAATTCACTACAAATGCTAGAGACCTGAAGTAATTTTTGATAGTATAATTAAAGTTGATTCACATAGAATTGTGAGTTATATGTAGTAAAGTCACATTAACTGAGATTCCATTAATTAAATTCTGAGAATTGAAATGGCTATTCAAGATCAACTGATTCAACCTTCCATGTAATGCAGGGACTCATTGTAAAATATCCATGCCAGATGTTTTTTAGCTCTTCAACTAGATAATATCATTTTCTATGTTTGGGCAGCCTATTACAATTTTGGTAAATTGTAGAAGTCAGAAATTCTCATAGAGAAGTGAAATCTACCTCCTGTACCTTCTACTCTTTGATTCTAGTATTCTTCTACTTTTCTGAAATAAAGAAAAAGTCTCCCCTTCACATGACATACACTAAAATATATCAGCATAAACACAATCAATTATTAAAAATTTGTGGAAACCATGAATAGATTTTCTCAGTTTTTGTGTTTTCATTCTAGGAGGAGGTCTGTTTCCTCGGCAAATACTAAAGAAAAAATTAAGGAGGAAAAGAATTAATGCATTATTACAAAAATGTAACAATTTAAAAGTAATCCAAACCACTTTATTAGGAAGATTACATGAATTCACTCATTCACTCAACAAATATTTACTGACTACATGCCTTAGATGAGAAACTGCTTGATGTTGAATAAGAAATAATTTATTACTAATGATATTTTAGAACAAGTCTGACAGGAAACCTAGCATGTGTATGTAAAAGTAATAAAATTCTCCTCCTTTAACAATACATCCTATGCCATATTCCCACTGCTCTTCTGTCTTCAGCTAATTATTACAATTCTTACAATATTTCACATTAATCAATAGGTTATAACAATGTAATAAATATTGTACTTACTCTTCTTCGATTTTCACCTTCTTCTTGCCTTTGCCTTTTTCTCTTTTCTGGAGATAGAAAAAGAGCCTCAAATTTGGTATAATATGGTTTAATCAGACATAGAGTAAAATGAAATAAAGATATCAGTCTATGACCAATATTTCTTTTAAATAACTACAAAATCAAACGTAATAAGTCATTTTTAGAAAGGACTTGAGAAGTAACCACACAGGGCTCATTTTCTTTATATTTGGTGAAGATGGCCATGTAGTCTCTGTCAAATAGCTTTAGTGAAGAAAACACTTTTTCCTCATGATGGCCTGAAATTTGTTTCTCTGTAACTTTTTTTCTTTTTTAGTCCTATCTTCTAAACTAAGTTCATATTTCTGTTTTTCTGTATAAGTGTTTTTCTCTTGTTACTCTTTTCAGGTTATACACTCACCCTTTTGGGTCCCAATCTCCCCTAGAATATGCTCTAAAAGTGTAAAATTCTGGCTATCCTCTTAACATTTTCCAATTCATCAATCTTATTTGTAAAAATCTTACTCAGGACTGGACATGATATGCCAGATGAGTTCTAATTAATGTAGAAAGCATTATATCAACTAGACATTCCCTTCTTTTAAAGCATGTGAAGGCTATGCAAGATAATTTTGGAGTATATTTAAGAACCAACGTTCTAAAGTCTATGCTTTTCCCACTTTCCCATCATCATCTGAACATCAGTAAATTTAATACTTTCAATTTTGAGAATAGGTTCTAATAGACTGCTATATATATTCTAACAGTACTAACATTCTCACATTAATAATCATTATATTCTTTAAAAAAATACTCTTGGTTGAATGATTTCCCAAGTAGTTATCAAACTGATAGTTTTTTAAATAAATGAATTTTATACTTGCATAGACCTTGGCAAATACGTTTCAAGGCAAACGTAAAAACAACTAAAAGACAATACAAATGTGTTATGTAATTGTAGACATACTTCAGAATGCAGAACTTATTAAACAATTATATTTCCTAAGAAAGCTGTGTGTGTAGATTTTTAGCTAAAAAATTTGTAAACTTCTAATTGCTGAAAAGAGATTTAAAATTATTTACAAATTATACAAACATTAATTTTGTACTTTGAATCTTAGTACTTAGCATTTTCCCTTCATTTACTTTATTTATTTATTTTCACATTTGAATCAAATGGGGTATAATTTCTCATTTTTCCAAGTGTGCAGAATCACATTGGTTATACAGACACGTATATACATACAGCAATACTAGTGTCTATTTTATTCTGCTGCCCTTCCTGTCCCCGCTTCCCCATCCCTCCCCTCCCATCACTTCTCTCTACCCAATCTAATGTGACACATTTCTTTTTTTTAAATCTTACCTCGTCTGATTAATTCTTTTCCTTCATCAACTAAATCTGATGTCATATCATTATCACCCATGAACTGCTGGAAACCAAGCAGATTCAAACAACGGGTTCCCAAACTAATAAAAGTAGATTTTCAAAAAGACAAGCATTATTTTACATTGTAAATATTTAGGTAAACTTTTCATTAGCACTGTCACCCCCAAAGAAGCTTATGCTTCATTTTTAGTTATCATGGCAAGTATGTAGTATTACATCCATCATTCATCAAGAAGCACTTGTTTCACTTTCTGAAACTTACTTGTTTCACTTTCTGAAACTTACGTCCAGTACTTCACTCACTAGGGGTTATTATACCCAGATTTCTTATGGAAGCAAACTATGTTAGGCCCTCAGCATATCTTCAGAAAACAATTATACCAGGATGCTAAATAATGACTATCATACAAGAACAACTTATTACTTTCAAATAACAGTTTTACAACTGAAATGCACACATAAAACCTGCATTATCAAATGCAGAATATTCTGGTTTAGAAAGTCTTAAATATGCAAATTGATTTTAATGTTCTATTTTTCTTCCTGAGAACTAGTCAGTTATATTTAAATTTTTAAAGTTATATATCGTAAAGTAATCTACGCCTTATCTGTGGGCTTTTACCTCAGATTTTATTTGCTATTTACTTTAAATCTGATTGTGGTGCAGCACAGAAGTACTAGTACTCTGAAAGCATGGTACACAAGGAAGGCAGGAATAGATGGAAAGGCAGAATTAATATTGTTAGTATTATGCATGAGACAATTTACAGATGCTTTTATTTAATTGTTACTATAACCCTAATGTAAGACTGGAAGACACCACACCACAGGACACAGATTACCAAAGAGGTTTCCGCTTTATTTCAAAAGGCTGTGTGTTTATATAGGTCTAAGGAGAGGTAGCAGGGGCTAAGGTAGATAACAGGTCGCCCGTTTATTGGCAAGTTCTTCCATATGTCAGTTCCGGAGCCCAAGAAGTTAATTCTAATTGGGGCTAAGGCTTCCCACCAGCAGGGTTTGAACATTGGTGCCGGCGGGAACGTTTCGCGCCAGTGAAAGAGACAAAGAGGGGAAAGAGGGTCTTTAGACACCATGTTGGGGTTTTTTTCTGGGGTGATGCCGCTGTTATATGTTTTCCCAACACCTAAGAAATAAATATCACTTTTCTGATAAGGAAACAGGCCCATGGAGTTAAATTGTTTGCTAAAAATCTCTTAATAAATGCAGAGCTGGGACTTCAATCCAAGACAAAAATTTTAAAAGTGCTTGTTTTATTACATTTAGTTCTCCGACTTGTTTACTGATGTGCTTTTAAAAAAAAAAAAAAAAAAAAATATATATATATATATATATATATATATATATTTTAGTTGTAGATAGACACACAGTATCTTTATTTATTTTTGAGGATCAAACCCAGTGCCTCATACATGTGAGGCAACCACGTTATCACTGAGCTACAGCCCCAGTCCCTGATGTGCTTTTAATTGCAGAAACCTGAATTCCAGAGGCAAAAGGGGAAGAAAGAGGCAAGGATGAAAATTAAGTGTATGAAGAAGGAAAAACAGGTAGTTGAAGTGAAGATCTACCATTTACATTAAATGTGTAAATATCTGGCTAATTCAGAATACATATGCATGTTTCAATATAAAGAATATTTTATACAAATTACCATTGAGTGAAATTAGGCTTTCAGGTAGATAATTATGTTAATTCTGTGACTTTAAATACTTCCTTAACCTCTTCATATCTTTGGAGGGAATGAGAAGCATGAAACTAGTTTCTGGAAAGGTCTTTGTCTAAAGTGCCAGGAAACAACCTAACTCTGTCTGGGCAAATAAATCTGAACATTATCTGTGGGTCTGGCTTTTCTGCTCCTAGTATAAGAATTAAACTGTGACAGCACTACAAATGAAAATGGACCTATAAAGTCAAGTTACATATAAGTGTCAGTAAGATATCACTTCATACATTTCTATAACACAATATTTATTTTATGAGATAATTTAAAAATTGAAAAATATGACTTTTTTTTAATTTTTTTTTTTTTTAGTTCTAAATGGGTATAATACCTTTATTTTATTTATTTATTTTTACGTGGTGCTGGGATCAAACCCAATGCTGCACACGGTAGGCAAGAGCTCTCTAGCACTGATCTACAACTCCAGCTCCTGATCTCTTACTTAAATATAAAAAGACATTCAATGTTCATCCCAACTCCAGAAAAACACTTTTAATAATTCTTTTTAATTTTTAGACATAATGATTCCTTTTAAGATTTTATAGTAGACAGAGTACTATTCTACTCCTTATCCCTTGATCCATATAATCATCTCATCTCAAAATACTAATACTTGTAACATAACTACTGACATGAAAATACATCACTTATGTATCACAAGTACTTAATGTTCCACTGATAGTTTTATAAGTTTTTAAAATGAATAAGCATATCATCAAAACTTAGTTTTAGACATACAAAGTATGATTAGTCTCTTCTTTTAATAATTCATTTTTGAATTATAAATTTGTTTTTGTCCTTTCTACCTTAAAGGAAAAACTCAAAATATCAGATTTGCTATCAGTTGTTATTAACAACATAATTTAAACTATAGTCTTTGTGGGGCATGGTGGCACACGCCTGTAATCTTGGCAACTCGAGAGGCTAAAGCAGAAGGATTCCAAGTCCGAGGCAAATCTCAACAACATAGTGAAGCCCTGAGCAACTTAGTGAGACCATGCCTCATAAAAAATAAAAAAATAAAAAAAAAAAATGGATGTGGCTTAGTGATAAAGAGCTCCTGGGTTCAATCTTATGAGAAGATAAAATATAAATACCTTTTAAAATTCAACAAAGAATTTATTTTAAAAAATATCCATTTATTCTTTACCTATTAGTAAATATTATTTACAATAACTATGTAGTGATATTGGAAAATTTAAATGAAAAACAGGTAGACAAATGTTGTTTTCATTAGAGAATCGAACTGATTAACATTAATAAGACATTTTTGCTAAAGTGATATTTTGGGTGTGTTGTGGAACACTTACACAGAGAGGGCAGACAGAATACATACAATATAGGGTGCAGATACCTGACATATGAAAGTAGATAAGATAGGGTATGAGAAGTCACACACAACTGTCTATTAACTCCTTTTGAATTCCAGCCAAGATTCCACCTTTCTCTCTAATCTCACAAAAGAAAACTAAGGGAGAATTTCTTCCATAACCCTATGTTTTTTTCCTGACTATAATTGTTCCTCACCCGACCTTTTGCACTGACCATGACCTGAGGAATCTAGAAATCCAGCAATAATTATCTGGAAAGCCCTAAATTATGTTATTGGAAAGAAGCTGGACAAGCTGAAGGGTTTTGTAAGCTATACTGGCTGTCGGTGTCAAAGATTAGGATTTAGAAGTTAATATTCTGTAATTAACCCTACCATTGTGTAGCCTGAATAACTGTAGTAAAATAACTCTACCTCCCTTTTCTTTAAAATATCCTCAGAGGGAGAACCAGACCTGATCACTCAAGCAGTCCCTTCAAACTATCCCCGCTCCCCCAAAACCAAAATAAAGCAAACAACTAAAACCCAACCAATAAATGTTTTTTAAAGTTTTAAAAAGAAAAGATACCCCAATACAACTATGAATATGAGAAAAGTAATGTTAAGCTTCTTACCTAAAATAAGTAGCAATGCAGAGAATTACCACTAACATAGGATAATAAATATAGAATCCATCTGCAATAAAGGATAAAACTTTCATGGAACCCATAATCTGAAGAGCAAGAAAAAAGTAAGTTAAATCAGCATAGTTCTATATTTTTCATTCCTTCTTGTCATTAGAAAATTTACCTACAACCATAGTCAGATTAATAAACTGAATTTATCAAAAAATAGAAGCAATACACTAAGCGGTCAAATTTTTAAAAATTTTGTTTTTTTAATCCAAATTTTCTCTTAAGTTTTTAATAGTCTTATTAAGGTTAATATTCTATAGGTCAGGTCTTTGGATACCCTTCTGATAGACAACTTATGTACAAAAAAAACATTTTTTTATGATGAAAAGCAAGATCACTTTTTTCCAGTCAGCATTAGTAATCACATATACATTGTTAAGAAAAAGTTCAATTTTTTTTTTCCAATGGTACTAGGGATTAAATCCAGGAGTGGGGAGTATACTACTGGGCTCTATTCCCTGCCCTTTTTTATTTTGAGACAGGGTCTCACTAAGTTGCCCAGGCTAGCCTTGAACTTGAGATCCTCCTGCCTCTTCTCCCAAGTAATTGGGATTACAAATGTCTATTACCACACTCAGCAGGAGAAATTTTCAGTCACAAAAATGAGTTTAAAAGTGCTATAGTACATTTTTGCCAGCATTAAAAGAAAGTTTACAATAATGATCTCTCATAGAGATAATGAATTCTGTTTTCTGGCCATACTTACAGATGTATAAGCAGTTGGTTGAGTATTCTTGTGAGAGATGGATGAATCCATATGGGTCAGACCCAAGAAATTAAGACATAAAGGAGGAGTCAAGCGGCAAAATAACCTGCAGTAAATATTTTTTAAAACCAGAAAATATAAAAAATAGTGCAGCAAAAGATATTTTATATTACATTGAATGTACTAAAAACATTTCAAATCATTATAGCTATAGTATTCATTTATTTGCACCATATACATTTTGAATTTTTAACATGAACATCCCTTAGTCACTTGGGAGACATTCTGAAAATCCTATTAATCATATCCCCCTTAAAACCATCAAAATCTACATGTCAAAACTACAGCCTCAGGCTCCTTGTCACAGTGATATCCCATAATTTGTGAAGTTCCTTTGTATGCACCTCTTTTAACTCTACTATCTGTGCAATGTATCTCACAGCATGGCAATGACAGTAACATTCTCAAGGGGTATGGTACTCTGTACATAAAAGATCTAAAGTTGCATCAAAATGTTCATTCTCACAGGTATAGTGAGTATAAAGGGTTGTTCAGTTTTAAAAAGTACCCTACAAAACTTCATATGTAGAGAATTGAGTGTGGGAAGAAAGAAGAAACGAGAATATAGAGAGGTATTATGAGGAAGCTCTTTTGTGGTGAGTGAACATCTTTGAGCCCCACCCTTAGAAATGCCTCAAATGACTGATTTGAAAATACATAATAGATTGTGCAACCCAGCCCGACCTAGAGCCATTTCTCTAAACTCTAAATTCCTCAGGAAAAATTATTCCTGTTGGTTTTCTTTATATTCTTCAATTCAGTTTAGGCCACTGATTCTGTGAATATTCTCTAAGTATGAATTAATATTTATAAACTTTCAATTGTTTCTATCACTTATTTATCTACATACTGAATCTCTAATTGGTAAATTCAAGCTCACTATGTCTTACTTCTCCTTTGTAATCTAGGATATGTAACATTGTGGTTTAAATATGAGATGCTCCTTGAAAAGCTCATGTTGCAAAGCTCTAGAAATGAAATGATTAGATGATGAGAGCTGAAACCTAATAAATGGATTAATCCATTTGATGGATTAATAATATAAATGAATTACTGGTGGTAACTGTGAACAGTGGGGTGTATCTGGAGGAAGAAAGTCACTGGGGACTTGCCCTTGAGGATTATACTTTGTCCTTGGCTCTCTCTCTCTCTCTCTCTCTGTTTCCCAGCTTCCATGAACAGAATAGTTTTCCTCCTCCATGACCTCACAGCATGATGTTCTGCCTCACTTCAGGCCCACAGAATTGGAGTCTGCTGACCATGAACAGAGATGACTGAGACTTCTGAAACTATGAGCCCAAAATAAACTTTTCCTTCTCTAAGTTGTTCTTGTCACAAATCTTGATCACAGCAATGACAAGCTGACTAACACACCTAGTTTAACCTTAAACCTCAAGGAGGATTTATCTGTGAATCAACAAACATTATTCAATACTTAAAGCCTTATCAATCATATCATAGAAATATATGCAACATCCATAGAAAAACAATAAAAGAGAGGTCCATTATAATGCATGCAATGGATATATTTCTCTTATTTCTAAACTCAATCCAACTTACATGCCACTGAAAAGAAGACTGTAAGCATCAGTCTGGTGATGTGAAGCCAAGTAATAATAGTTAAATACACGAATCCTAAATACAGTAGAATAAACACAGATACTTAGGAAGAAGATAGACAGAAAGCAAGCAATCTGAAAAAAACAAAAACAGAACAGTTTAAGACTAACAGACTTTATTATTTTATATACTATAATAAGCATTACCGTTCATTTCCTAATACTTATTGATGTCCTAAAATTAAAATACAATAAAGTAGTTTTTAAAAATCACCTAAGAAAATGAAATTATATAAAAATAATCTACATTTCAACCAGTTCAACATCCTAGACCCATAAATTTCAAATCTACCTCCTCAAGTGAGCCTGTTTTCCCATTCCCTTGGCAACTCTTCACATGAAGATTATAAGTTATGTAGCTTCATTGGTATAAAGTGGATCAAAGTATTCTCATAAAACAATTTTTCACTAGCTCTCCTCAAATACAGCTCTTAGTGTCTTATACTCTGGGTAAATTGAAGAAGTTCATTTTTGGAAGTATGACTAATAACATTGTGGGAAACTTCACTGGTTTTATTATTACTGGAAGAAACGTATGAGAAAAGATACAATAGTTAAGGATTATGCTATGAACAGACATGTATTTTATGACAGATATGAAATAAACTGACCTCAATATAAATATAATTGTAAGTTCTTTCTGCCAGCTGTATGAAGACTGCAAAGAGGGATAAGACAGGAGTTGTGCTAAAGAATGTGCACTCTGACCACACAACAATCACAGAGAAGATAGACAAAACCACAGCAAGTATCCTGTAAAACCATGGTCGCAAAAGACATTCCCAGTACCATTCTGGAAAATTAAAGAAAAAATACAATTAGGAAAACTAGAGGAGTAAAAGGGTATTGACAATATTTCACAATCTCTCCCAACAAGATAATTATAAAAAGAAAAATAGCAATTTTACAGTGGATGGATCTTGCAGACATACCCTGACCAAATGATCACCAGTAAGGGGACAAAGTGACATGGTGCTTCTTGCTATGACGCACTAAGAAGAGCATGTTATCTTTGCTACGGTATTTCTGCTCAAAATGCATAACCTACATCTAATCATGAGACATATCAAACTCAAATTCAGGGACATTGAATAAACAGCTGGCCTGTACTTTCCACAAACACCTCAGTTATAAAACACAAAGACTAAAAACATTAAAGATTAAAGGAGACTTTATGGTCGGATACATGCTCCTACTAATTTTTTCCCAATACTCTGGAGGGCACTGAAAAAAAAACAGGGGCTAGAGTTGTGGCTCAGTGGTAGAGCACTTGCCTGACATGTGTGAGGCACTGGGTTCGATTCTCAGCACCACATATAAATAAATGAATAAAATTAAGGTCTAAACTAAAAAAAAATATTTAAAAAAGAAAACAGATTTTGAAAACTTTAATTATAAAAGTTATTTTTATTAAAAATCTTTCATTCTTGGGCATTTCTAATTTTTCTCTAGTCTTCATAAATAAGACTAGAATGTAGGGGGCTGGGGATGTGGCTCAAGCGGTAGCATGCTCGCCTGGCATGTGTGCGGCCCAGGTTCGATCCTCAGTACCACATACAAACAAAGATGTTGTGCCCGCTGAAAACTAAAAAATAAATAAATTCTCTCTCACTCTCTCTCTCTCTCTCTTAAAAAAAAAATACTAGAATGTAAATAAGCAAAGAGGATTTCTTAGGGGATATTTTAGTAGTATGTCAATATGACTCAAGCTGGTGATTTATAGTTGCTTAAAATTATAATTAGTTTAAATATATATCATATATAATATGCTTGAGATATTACATATATTTTTGTAATACATTTTAGAATTTAATCATTTTTGAAGTAACACTGGAAACTAATGGATATGATAAATTTTTTTTTTTAGTATTTTTTTAGTTGTCAATGGACTTTATTTATTATATTCAGTGCTGAGAATCAAACCCAGTGCCTCACACATGCTAGGCAAGTGCTCTATCACTGAGCTACAACCCCAGCTCAGATAATATATTTTTACAAGTAAAATAGATACCCCATATTACCACATGGTATAAACTAAATAATACAAGTAAAATTCAGCTTTGCACTGAGAAAATATGCACTTTTTCCTGTAGAAAAAATACTACTAAACTTTGAAATTTATATGAAATTCCATACCAACTGTAGGATTATAAAAATACTGGATAAATCGATTTTCAGGCTCTGGTGATTGAAAGGTGTGAACAAACTGATGAGTTGCACTAGTTTCATTTTTCGCTACATCTTCTAGATAAAATGCCTGTTCCAAGAGAATCTGCCATTGTACTTGAGTTCGACGGTGCCTCTGAACTGAATAAATCACCTAAAAAAGATAAGGGGGTGACTGTGTCTGAGAGAACAGTGTGTCAACCTAATGATCACCAATAAGAGGACAAAGTGACATGGTGCTTCTTGCTATGATGCTAAAAATGCTAGTGAGCATTTTTAATTTTTATTTATTTTATTTTATTTTGGTCACAACATGAACATACTAGTGGTATTTACTATGTAGGGTCAAGAATTTTTTTTTTTTTAATGATAACTGTTACATAGACTGTAACAGTTCTAATCCTTATTCCTCAATTGCCCAGGGTACCACTGTCTGGAAGCACAAAGTTAACACATTTCAAAGAACAATGATATGTATAGTATGGAAAGAAATTTTAGATATGAATTCAATCAAAATTTATTTTTTGTGTGTAATAATTATAAATCTAGTTGATTTATAATTGCAAATCTAACTGAAAGAGAAAGAGCTATAATTAATTATTTAAGTTACCTGTTTATGTAATTTTACCAGACTCTTTTCACTTGGATAGGTATTACGCTTTTCATCAAAATCTTCATAATCATCCATGTTCCTACCCATTTTTTCCTGATACTCTGTAGGACACTAAAAAGAAAACAGATTTTTAAAATATTAATTATAAAAGATGAAAATTTATTTTTATTAAAAAATCTTTCATTCTTGGGCATCTTTAATTTTCTTGAAAACATTTTCTTCCTTTATTGGCATCTCTGAATAGATTTTCACTTGCTCACCTTTTTTAAAAAATGTTTTAAAAAATGTGTTCAGCTTCTTCTCACCTCTATTAACATTAATCTTTATCTCAGATATACTAGCTGGGGAATGGTCGAGACAATGGTAGAGGCAAACTTACCTTAATTGTAGGTAAGTTTACCTACATGAAGCAAATAGTATTTGAAAGGTGTATGCTAAATAAGCATCTGAAAAAAATGTCAATTATTTTTCTAGCTAAATCATGAAAAACATTACAAGAAATCCAAGGTGCTGAAGTTTTGAAAGGCACAATATAGAGAAACACATGTAGGATCTGGGATATCTGCCATACTACTGGTCACTTATTACTTATATGAATTTGGGCAAGTTAGTTAACCTCTCTAAATAGGTCTCAAAAACTTACAATTACAAGAAAAATGGTCAGAAAATTTATTCCTATGACTAAAATAGCCAAAGTAACACTAGCTAACAATCAGTACAATAGGAAAAGACATATTTCAGTGGTTCTCAGGCTGTATAAAAGACAACTGGGGAACCACAAAGAACTGTGTTTGGAAGTATATGAATACCTGTAACTCAATACCACTGCATCAAAACCTTAATTATATGGTTTCTTATTAAATACTTACTATATACTTCATAATGTCAGTTATTTCGTGATTGATTATATTGTAAAATGACATTTAGAAAGCTAGTTGCAAGAAATTATAGAGGTTAATTTATTTTCTTTTTTTTTAATGTTTATTTTTTAGTTGTAGTTGGACACAATACACTTATTTTATTTATTTATTTTTATGTGGTGCTGAGGATCAAATCCAGGGCCTTGCACAAGCTAGGTGAGTGCTCTACTCCTGAGTCACAACCCCAGCCCCAGTTTATTTTCTTATAAAAGAAATGCCTTCAGTGCTTATATACAATGGCACCTTAAAGGTTTATCTCCAACACTGTGTCATAGCAATTATTTTACATAACTCAATATTAACTCTATCTTCATGTTTTAGTAGAAAATATTGTCAATAATTAACATTAAACTTATAATAACAAGAGGAAAAAGTCTATGTACAAATTACTACTGGTTTATGGTTAATATTTCCATGAAAATGCACTGGGAAGACCTGAACCATAGACATTTTTATACTTTTATGATGCTTTTGTTGTTATTACATATTAATTTATATATTATGTAATTATATATTTTAAAATTACCTTTTTAAGTATTGTATCAACACATTTTCTTAATGGGTGGTTATACTTGATGCTTTCATTGACTTTACGAACCTCCTATAACAAGAACAAGAGGAATAAGAATATTTCCATTTCTAGAGGTGAGACATTTCAAGCTTACTAAAACTTTACAAGTTTAATTTCAACTCAAGTTACTTAGCATTACACAGTTTTTTGTTTGTTTTGTTTTTTTACTGAATAAGAGTTCTTAAAAAGACATGCAAAAGTATAAGGCAACTGAATTGTATCTATTCACTCACTTTTTATTACTTTCTAGATTTATTCCCTTATCATTTGCTTACTTAATATACAAAGATGATTAAACATTATTTAAAATGTTCACAAAGGATCTGATAAACTGATCCTAAGAACAGGACTGTATTTCTCCATCGTACTCATCAAGATGAATCATTTCATTTATCTAAAATACAGTGAAGAAACCAAAGAAAAAGACTACACATGTCACAAAGCACCTGATGTTTCCAATAGGAGAATGCTCTAGAGCAGCCACAATTGATTGATTCATCTCATACTTGTTTATTAAGATCACCCCATGTCAGCACTGTGGTGGCTATAAGGTGACCATAATACATACAGAATAGCAAGGTTGGAAGACATTGAATTGTCAATCTTTGACTCAAATTATAATGTAGTGGTAAGATAATTAAATAGGTAATTTAATGAAAGGCATAAAAAGAGTTAGGAAGAGGATTTTTTTTTTTTTTTTATAACCATACTGGGAATTGAACTCCCAGGGTTGGTCTGCTACTGAGCTTCATCCCTAGCCCTTTTATTTTTTAATTTTAAGACAGGGTCTTGCTGGCTTGAACTTGCTAGCCTTCTGACTCAGTTTCCTGAGTCACTAGGATTTTAGGCATATGTCACTGTGTCCAGGCAGATACACAAAAAATGAGAATACAGAAGAAATACAATTGATCCATAAATGTCTAAAAAGATATTCAAGCTTATTAAAAACAATTATGAACTAGTAGTTCCTAAGAAATATTCAATAATATTCATGAAATAAAAACAAGAGTTGGAACCACTATTTCAGGCAGAAGAAACTCCATAACACAATCTGGAAGTTAAGAGGGAACTGAGCAGGATGTTAAAAAGAATATTGGTGGCTAGGATTGTGGCTCAGTGGTAAAGTGCTTGTCTCACATGTGTGAGGCACTGGGTTCAATTCTCAGTACCACATATAAATAAATGAATAAAATAAAGGTCCATCAACAACTAAAAAAAATTTTAAAAAAAAGAACATTGGGACTATAAGGCAGAGAAGGGCTTCAAGGGATAGAGAACTAGAGGCAGAAAAAGTTATGAAAAAATATTTAATGTATATGACAAAGAATCACCATCCTTAATATATGAATAGCTCTTATTACTAAATAGAAAAAATAAGAATACAGAAGAAATACAATTGGTTTATAATTGCAATTATAATGTTCAAGCTTACTATAAACAAATAATAATTTTTAAAAAAGAGCTTTCCTGCAGAGTTAAAAAACTTGACATTATGTAGTGACATAAGAGTGTAAAGAAACAGGCCCTCCATATGCAGTAAAAAGTGATATAATCTATTTGGAGGGTTACCTGGCACTGTCCGTCAAAATTTAGTATATGCATACTCTAGGAATAATCTATACCAACAGACACTGCTCCTGTCAAGGAACTTAGCTTAATGAAGAAAACAGACATTAGTCAAGTAGAAATGATGTGGAAACTGCTGTAAAACAAAAAAAAGTAAAATCCTCTGAGGGGGTATAATCTCTTGTAGGAGGCTTTCTGATACACTGATAAGTTAAAGTGAAATACAGGCTCAGGTTGTAGCTCAGAGGTAGAACTCTTCTTGGCTAGCACAGGCCATGGGTTTGACCCACAGTACCACAAATAAAATAAATAAAGTAAACTAAAATAAAGTTGCATATGATTTCAATGTGGCTACTGAGGCCTAACTAGACAGCCGTACTTCATTTAAAATTAGATAAAACAAAATATGTAGAAGTTAGTCAATTAAAAGGAGGGGCAAGAATATTCCAAATAGAAGAACAAGGACAGCAAATACGAAGGTCTCCAGGTAGAAGTGAACAAATCGTTTTAGACAGGAAAAAAACAAATAAACAAACAAACATAAAACCAGCATGACTACAGAGAAAAGAAGAGTAAAGTCCTGACTAGCACTTCACTAGGCCGAAGAAGAAAATCAAAGTGCTCCTAAAAGGCATTAATAACAATTTATTTTGAGGTAAATGTGTGAGGCCCAAATGCAAGAGTGACAAGAACAAACTTGAGTTTTTAAAATGTCCCCTTGAAACATTATTACATTTTAATTGTCTATTATTAAACTGCCTTAAAGTTTTTAATTGAGCACAATTTTATCCTACTTTGAAAAATGAACTACACAATCTGACTGTATATTCTATATAAAATATTTTACCTTTAAATTCCAAAGAGATGCATATTTTAAATATACCAAAGTAGTTTTGATAAAACTGCATTTGGGGATTATGTGGATATCTAAGAATCTTTTCCCTGCTTGGAAAGTATCATTGATTGGTTCCTTATTACTTTCTTTTTTTGGAGGGGGGTGGTACTGGGGATTGAACTCAGGGGTGCTTGACCACTGAACCACATCCCTAGCCTTATTTTGTATTTTATTTAGAGATAGGGTCTCACTCAGTTGCTTAGAGCCTTGCTTTTGCTGAGGCTGGCTCTGAACTGGAGGTCCTCCTGCCTCAGCCTCCTGAACTGTTAGGATTATAGGCACGTGTCACCATGTCCAGCTTCCTTATTATTTTCAAAATACATTCTGGACTTTTCCATTTGGCATTCAAGGCCCAACTATGACTTTATCTTTTGAAGATAAACTCTATGTTCACTTTGATTTGGTTTAAAATATTCTGATATTTAACTGGAATGCTTTTAGCTATCAAAATTCTATTCATCCTTAAAGACCCAGGTCACACCAGGTCATACTATATCTCCTCTGATTACTATTCAGATAAGAAAGCTCTCCATATTAGAGCATTTTCTTTGTATCATTCACATCAGATTTATCATACATTATATGGGAGGATACAGTTTTCCACTCTAGACAGTTAATATTCTGTCAGTTCTACATAGCACTTCTTATGGCAGAAAGATAATAAGTACTTGTATATGGGCAAATGAAATCACATTCAAACCATTTTTTTTTTACAGGTAAGGGAGAAAGCTTCTGCTATCTATGTGAAACAGCTGCTATTATAATTCATTAAGAAAAGAGGTGTTTCTTATTCATATGGAAATTTTTCTCTTATCTAAAATTTTTTAAATCCCCCCACTTTAAACCTATGAATACTAAAGTAGCATTGAAGGCACCAATGTTTTTTTCTTCATTTTCCACACCTTATTTCTAAGTACTCCTACCTAATAACATCTATTTCATTCAGTATATTATCAAATATAAATTTTCAAATATCTCAAATTTTCCTTCAGTTTCAAATTTTCAGGTATATCAAAATGTAAACATAAAATTATTAAATGTAAATTATCTTCTTTGAAAAATGTGATAACATTCATCATAGACTTGAGGAAATATATTCAAATATTTAGATATTTATTCCCACTTTTTGAATCAACGTTTGCTACAGTTCTTACATTTTATAGAGAATAAATGTGAAAAGTCAACATAAAATTTTCCACAGTACACTTTCATTTGTTCATTTATTCATTCACTTAAAAAATGGTTGCTGAGGGTCTAAGAGTCTGGGAAATAGAAAAAGCACTAGGGATTGAATTGTATCTTCTAACAATTCATATGTTAAAGCCCTAATCCCCAGTATGTGGTCTTATTAGAAATAGGGTTATTGCAGATAAAATTAGCTAAATTAAGACAAGGCCATACTGGAGTACAGTGGGCCCTAATCCCTCATAACTGGTATCTATAAAAAGGGGAACTTGAACACAGAGACACACAAGGAGAACACCATGTAAAGATGAAGGCAGAGATCTAAAATCCAAGGGATACCAAAGACTACAAGCAAGCCAGAAACTAGAAGGCAGGTATGACGCAGATTTTCCTGACAGCCTTCAGAAAAAACCAAACTTGCCAATGTGTCGATCTTGACTTTCACCCTCTAGAACTGTGAGACAATAAATTTCTGTCATTTAAGCTACCTAGTTTGTAGTACTTTTGTTATTGCAGTCCTAGGATGCTAATACAGAAGGCTTTACCGAAGAATTCTCATTTATGTTAAGACCTGAAAATGAAGCAAGAAATTAGTTGAAGAAGGTCAAGAATATTTCAAGAGTGTGGGAAAAGCATGCTTAAAGACAGAAAAGAGAGGTAATAAATGTAATGATTAAGAGATAGGGGTCATCCAATCAGATCAAATCCAGTCCACTATTTGTTCTTATACTGGAAGACATGAATGCTCATTCATTTATGTATTGTCTATGGCTGCTTTCATGCTACAAAGACAGTAGTTAAAACAGGAGACCATATGGCACACACTGCCTAAAATATTTACCATCCAGCCTTTACAGAAAAAAGTGTGCTAGTCTTTATTATAGCACAAGCTAAAGTTAGAATTTCTGGTTCTACCACTTACTAGCTGTGTGATACATAGGAAAGTTATTTAACCTCTCTGTGCATAATTTTCATAAAATGGGAATTAAAAATAAACTCTGTTACAGCTATTGTTTTAATTAAATACAGTTGACCCTTGAAACTGCTCAGATCCACTTGTATGCAGATTTTTTATTTTTGGAGGTTTGTAACAATTAAAAAAACCCAGAGGGCTGGGATTGTGGCTCAGTGATAGAGTGCTCCCTTAGCATGGGCGGGACCCAGGTTTGATTCTCAGCACCACATAAAAATAAATAAATAAATAAATAAACAAATAAATAAATAAATAAATAAAGTCCCCCCCTCCTTAAAAAAAAAATAAATAAATAAAAACCCACAGATGAACCACATAGCCTAGAAATATTGTAAAAAATATTTTTTAAAGTTAGTTCTGTTATGAATGCATTAAATGTACATAGGATAGTCTATTATCATTTACTACCATAAAATATATACAAATTTATTCTAAAAAGTCAAAATTCATCCAAATGTACACACACTTACAGACCATACATAACACCATTTGTAGTCATGAAAAACGTTAAAAATGTAAAGATACAGTATTAAGTCATAATTGCTTAAAATTAACTGTAGTATATATGACTGTAATACATTTCGTAACCACCTCTTGTTGCTGTTGAGGTGAGCTTAAATGTTGTGAATATCCACTTAAAACCCTGTAGCCCTGTTCAGTTCCTCTTCTCAGTAAATTGCATATCTCAGTAAAAAAAGGTCTCTCATTGGTTCTAGTGTATATTTCACCATATATGATACACATATAAATTTGTGTTAATCAATTATTTATGTGATTAGTAAGACTTTAGGTCAACAACAGGCTACTAGTAATTAAGGTTTTTTTTTTTTTTTAGTAGCAGGGATTGAACCAAGAGGTACTTAAATCACCGAGCCACATCCATAGCCTTTTTTATATTTTATTTAGAGACAGTGTCTCACTAAATTGCTTAGGGCCTCCCTAAGTTACCAAGGCTGGCTTTGAACTTGGGATCCTCCTGCCTTAGCCTCCCCAGCCACTGGGATTACAGGTGTGTACCACATGCATAGCAGTAGTTAAGTTTTTGAGGAGTCAAAAGTTATGTGGATTTTTTATTACATGGGATCAATGCCCTTAACCTCTGCCATTGTTCAGGATTAATTGTATATTAATATATGTCAAGTATTTAGAAAGACTTAGGCAAACAGTAAGTCTAAAACTGTTTTCTTGAGGTTGTATTGATGTGCAGTTTTACTGGTGGTATATTCATATATGAACAGAGGAAAGTATGTCTGATTCATTCTACTGTCTTTCCTGTTTGTTATTATTATCATTATTAAGTTTAAGGAACCAAAGTTGAGTGTTACATAAATATTAAGTCTAAAGCATTGTTTACTGTTTCATTATTAGCAAGTCTGAGTAACCAAAGTGACCAGAGTAAGGAAGATGGGGAATTGGGATAAGGCTGGAGAGCTAAACATGGGCCAAATTAATTTTTTGTAGGCCATATTAGAACTTTAGGAGTTAATGCTAACTCCTTTTATGAATGAAAGGCTTTCTACATGAGGTTTTAAATTGGCAACTAACATCACCAAAGTGGCATGTTTTCTTCTGGGAGAAAAAAATGTCTACAATACCTCTTTTAAATTCATGACCAAGTTATTATTTAACACAGCAAATTTTTATAATTTGTTATATATTTTTGTGTACATTCCTAAAAGTAATGACTTTCAAATTATACTTTGAATAAGGTGAAGTTGGTTCAAGTAATTTGCATTTTACAAGTGAATACAATGAATTGCCTAATTAAGATTACAGATAAGGAACAAAACTTGCTGAAACAAACTTTCATGCAAATTATTCTCAGTTTCCCACATGGTGGAATTGCCTTTGGTTAAACTTTCAGGAACTAATGTCCTCTGATCACTATTTTCATTTCCACTATTTTAGAGTAACCATATAACTTATTGTCTAATCTGGGAAATTTCTGAGCATAAAAGAAGGTACTATTGAAAGTACCCCAATACAACAGGCATAGCCTTATACTACTGAACATAATTTCCCAGACATTTGTCAGAAGAAGATGACACCTCAAAAGATTGCTTGCTTTAGCATGTGTAAGGTCCTAGGTTTAATCTCTAGCACTAAATGAAATAAGAAGTTATTCTGATAGAGACATCATCAAATTTGCATTTTGAAGCCCATTCATGTGCTACCAACAACCAAAAATTTGGTGACCAAAAGGAGTTACATAATACTGGTGAAAAGTTGCTTTTGTAAGATTTAAAAATGCTTACCTCCATAACATCTTCCAAATTCTCTTCTGCATCTGCTTTCTCTGTCATCAGTTTGGCTGCCTTGAAATAAGTTTTCATAAGTAGATAACCCCTTTTAGCTCCATTCCAGTATGACCGAGGAATTTCCACCAAGCCATACCCCAACAACAACACAAGAAGAAATAGACCCCATGTATTGGCAGCAGCTATTCCAATTGTCTGAAGTTGGTTCCTGAGAAAGAGAATAATAAAGCTATAATAAATACATCTTCCTACAAAAATGCAAAGTAAAACTAACTAGTATTAAATGCTTTTTCAGAAAACTGTCCTAAAAGATGGAAAAATTATTTTTATATATATACCTTCAAATCCTGTTATTTTTTTCACTCACAGCAAATAAGTATATTTTAATGGAAAGATAAAACAACTATAAAAATGGACTTTAACATAAGAAATACTATTTCAATTATAATCAAAATTAGAACCAACAATAATTCATGGCAAAAAAAATGTGTACATATTTTCACAAACAAACATACTTTTCACCAGGTACTTTCTTATTTAATATTACCCAAGAGAAGGCTGAAAAAATTTCAAATTAACTTGTGTCAAAGCCAATCTACACAAATCCCAGGAACATAACAGTGACACTTATCACTACTACTCTATTCCTAAATTTTCAGACCTGGCTTTTTGCATACATTACCCATCATAAAAACAAAATAGATTTCAATTTCATTGAAATATCTAAATCTAAAATAACTTTAAGGACAAATATGCTCTTAAACTACAATTAAAACAAAAGATACAAATATTTACAAGTTCTGGTGAGGAAAAAAAAAACAGCTATTTGTTCATTTATAAAATTTGAAGTCCTATCTAAAAATAATGTTATTAGGTAGGCACAGTGATTCATGCTGTAGTCCCAGAGACTTGGGAGGCTGAAACAAATGGATCACAAGTTCAAGGCCAGCTCAGAAAATTAGAGAAGCCCTAAGCAACTTAGTAAGACCCTGTCTCAAAATGAAAACTAAAATGTTCTGGGGATATAATTCAGTATTAAAACACCTCTGGATTCAATCCACAGTACCAAAAAATAAAAACAATGTTATTACTTTTAATATATAGCTATTAGTCAAAGCATTAATCTACCACTTACTGATTACATTTAAAGATGCTATTCCACATTTTCTTTCTTAGTAATAGAGATTATTCAAATATTCTTTTGGGGGAATTAATAAAAAAAATTTTGGAATATTTCTTGAGAAATGACCTGTATATATGAGATAGAAATTGATTTTTAAAAGTGCAAACATTCACAGAACGTTAAGAACACTACTTTTCTTACCATTCTAAATGTAAACGTGGGTTTACAGCTACATAAATTAAAAATGCTCCAAAAATCAGCAAATAGGTGCCATAATAGATTGCATTCTCAATCAGTGCAGTTTTTATTTTTCCAGTGATAGAAAACCCTCCAGATCTTGCATATGACTGCATGAAAGGTAAGAGAATCCTAGATGGGGGGAAAAATATAATAAAAAACAAAACAAAACAATTATATATCGATATAATTTCAAAACACAAGAAATACATAAATCTCAAATTTAATATGCAATTCTCAATAATAAATACAGTTATGAGTAGTTACATGTTAATACTGAATAAACATTATTAGGTGACTGTTTATTTTTGTAATATTAAACTTGACAGAAAGCAAATGCCCTAAGGCAAGAAAGAGCACTTCCTAGGAGAAAAGGAGGCCACAATGACCAGCAAAAAATACAAAAGTGTTAAATGACTTCAGATGATTCTAAAAACAGACCTTTAAAGCCTTTATGCAGAGTTTGGATTATACCCAAAGAATGAGAAACATTTTCTTTAATAGTAAGAAAGGTATGATCAAATTTAAATTTTCTATGACTTCACCAAGGACAATGGATGGAGAGGAAACAAAACCAGAACTAACTGGGAGTGGCAAGGGTAGAAGTAATAAGAAGCAGAAGAGGAAAAGACTGGTTGTCAACCTACTGATTCTAAAGTACCTAGAAGATATCCAATGGAGACTTCAAGAGGAGGAAGTAGTTGGCTATCCAACTTTAGAGTTCAGAAGAGAGTACTTAGAAATGTCAACTTTTAAGGAAGAAGTAAAGAAAAAGGGGAAGAAATCAAAGGAGACTGAGATAAAACAATAGAGGGTCAAGGAAAAAATTCAAGGAGCAGGTCAAACAAAAACCAGAGAAGGAAGTATTTGAAAGTGGAAACAAAACAATAGAATAAAATGCTGCCAAGAGGTCCAGTAAACTGATGACCTCTATGTGTGAGTGGAGGCTTGGGTGTAAAAAAATGGGTACACGGGTTGAGGAATAAGTAAATAATGAATAAATGGAGATGTCAAATGATAGTTCATTTAAGAAGTTTGGCTAAGTAAGATAAACCATGGTATGTACATAAAATGAAATATTTTATAGAAATGAAAAAGAACAGAACACTAATACACACAACGTAATGTAGATGAATCTTCCAAATATGTAAGCAAAAAAGAAATGCAAAAATATCCATACCATACAACTAATGTTTATAAGGTTCACAAACAGGCAAAGCTAATCTATGGTGATGCAAGACAGAATAATGGTTATGGGGCTGGGGTTGTGGCTCAGTGGCAGGGCACTTGCCTAGCATGTGTGAGGCACTGGGTTTGATTCTCAGCACTACATATAAATATATATATATATATATATATATATATATATATATATATATATATATATTTTTTTTTTTTTTTTTTTTTTTTTTTTTTTTTTTTTTAAAGAATCGTGGTGACCTCTATGGTTAGTGGATGACTGGGGTAACATGAGAGAGGCATCTTGGGGCATTGTTCATGTCCTGAATCACCATTATCTGAGTGTTGGTGTATAGATGCATTCATTTTGAAAAAAAGTCAAACTAAACAGAATATGCATTTTTTTCAGTATAAGTTTACACTTAAATTTTTTAAAAAGTCTCCAAAAATTTTAGTCATGATAAGATCAACAAGGTGGAGACTGGAAAGGGATTCGAGGTGAATGACTTTTTGCTTGTTGTGCCAAAACTGGAAATTATAAATAGGTAACAAGAGGTGAATGGGGTGAGTCCACAATTTAACGAGAGGGGTTAGCTTAACAAGAATGACTCTTCTGTCCTTGGAAGAAAGTTTGTTAGTGAGAAGCTAAAAGAACTGCCATCTGATGACTTCTATTTTCACTGTGAGGTTGACAGAAAGTAAAGTCCTATGCTAAGAGTAAGTGTGACTTTTAGGGAATGAGTAGAAGATAGCAACTAAGAGGACAGAAGTTTGGAGTGACTGGAAATATTTGATGTACAGAATAGGCAAACAGATTAATGAAGCAAAGAAGGAAATTCTGGTAACACTGAGGGCCCAGCTGGTTAACAAGCATGAATTTATTGGGGCACTACTCTATTCTGCTATGCAATTTGTCTTTTGTAATGTTCACCACCTCCCATTTGAGTTTGGTTGCCTCCAGAATATCTTGAGATATTCAGTAGGGAGTGAGTCTGAGATTAGTGCATAGCAGAAGGACAAAGTTATAATGGGGAGAAAGCAAGATTCTGGATACATGAAACCATGGCTATAATTCAAAGCCATGAAGGAAGAGTCAGATAAGATGACCAAACATAAAATTTTAGGGAAGACTAATATGAAGGAAATTCCCCTGAAGAAAATTCAGAGGGTTGGGATAAAGAGACAGAAAGTCAGAGAATAATGATGACCTTAGCAAGAGTAGTTTCATGTAATAATGGGTTAGAAGAAGACTAGATTGAGGGTCACAAGAGAAGGCAATAACTGCAGGGAAACAGTGACCAGGAAAACTTTTTTCTATTCTCTATATTTTTGGTCTGTTTCCCTTTTCTTCTTTTTTGTTTCATTTTTTTTTAAGATAAAAGAGACATGAGCTGGCAGAAAGAAGATACAGAGTTAAGAGAAACAATATGTAACATATGAATAAATTGCAAAATATGAGGGTTCACTGAGAAATAATCACATTTTTTTGGTTTACTTTGGCCAAATTTTTAAAAATTTTGTCCATCACTGTCACTTACCATGTTAAAAATTGTGATGTCCAATATACTACCCTCCAGAAAATTGGCATGATTCCATCAGGAATGTAACTCCATGGCTTAAAACATGGATGTTGGCTGTTTAATAACAATTTAAAGCCAATTAATCACAAACAATTTTAAGTTAAATGAATTATATAAATAATTTGTGTGTGGCAAAGTTCATTTACATCAGGTTAATAATTACTGATTTTCATAAAATTTCAGGAAAAAAACTTAAAATTCAAAGCTGACTGTCAAACAGAAAAAATGTACATGATACAAAACAGTTTGTTCTAAAAAGGAATGATTATAGTTTTCAACTTGCATTGTATTTTTTTAATATCTTTATTTTTTATTTATTTTATTTTTATGTGGTGCTGGGAATCAAACCCAGGGCCTCACACGTGCAATGCAAGCGCTGTACCACTGAACTACAACCCCAGCCCCACTGCAGTGTATTTTTAATCATTGGGTAAAAAACTCATCCCAGTTGTAGGGTTGGTTATGTTTTGTTTTGCTATTACTATCTAGCAGAAGGGGTCGGGCAAGAGAAGTCATTAGGTGATTAATTCCTGGAAATTGGAATGTAAATTATATTAGTCACACGGCATAGCTCCTGTGGACATGCACACAAGCATCTGCTTGAATTTTCTGATGATGAGTCTCTGACCATAGATTCTTCCACTTAATAATCTTCCTAGAGTGTGAGAATATCCTTTAGTCTAAAGACTTTTAATGCTATAATTGCTTCTGGTCTATATCTAGTTTTTCATGGTTCATCAAAGAGAAAAAACATATACACTTTAAATTCACTTTTATTCAAGTTAGAATATTTTATAAAAGCTGCAAAAAAAACCACACAAATACTAAAACACTGGTAAAAGTCTTCTATCAACATAGACTCATTTTTTACTTGGAAATATAATATGAATTCAATATAACCTTTTGACAATTTAAATTTTATTCATTCTTACTGCGAAAGTATGATGTTTTAACAGGATATGAAATATGAAAGGAGTATCTTACATAGAGAATAACCCCCTTGTTCTTTATAACAACTTTGTAAATTAGGCAAAAGAGAAAATGCATACTCTTTTATTTATTTAGTAATGGTGCCAAAATCTAAGAAAGTCTAGGCTCTATTTTTTAAAATATTTTTTTAATTGTAATGGACCCGATAGTTTTGTTTTAATGTGGTACTGAGGATCAAACCCAGTGCTTCCCACATGCCAGGTGAGCACTCTACAACTGAGCCATAACCCCAGCCGCTCCATTTTTTGGATATGAGACAGACTAAGAGGAAAAAGGTTTTGGAAGGTACACATTTAATAAGGGGAAGAACCAGAGCAAACAATTAGTTTTTTTTTTTCTTAAGCTCTCACTATCATCTACTGAAAGGCCCTGTGTAACAATAAAGTTTAGATTTAAGTATTTATTTATTTATTTTTTTACTTGAAAGCAAGTTTATTCTTAGTTACTACTGGGTTCATAAACATAATTTTTTTATTTTATTGTTGGTTGTTCAAAACATTACAAATTTCTTGATATATCATATTTCACACTTTGATTCAAGTGGGTTATGAACTCCCATTTTTACCCCATATACAGATTGCAGAATTACATCAGTTACACATCCATTGATTTACATATTGCCATACTAGTGTCTGTTGTGTTCTGCTGCCTTTCCTATCCTCTACTATCCCCCCTCCCCTCCCCTCCCCTCCCCTCCCCTCCCCTCTTCTCTCTCTACCCCCTCTACTGTCATTCATTTCTCCCCCTTGTATTATTTTTCCCTTTCCCCTCACTTCCTCTTGTATGTACTTTTGTATAACCCTGAGGGTCTCCTTCAATTTCCATGCAATTTCCCCTTCTCTCTCCCTTTCCCTCCCACCTCTCATCCCTGTTTAATGTTAATCTTCTTCATTTCCATGCAATTTCCCCTTCTCTCTCCCTTTCCCTCCCACCTCTCATCCCTGTTTAATGTTAATCTTCTTCTCCTGCTCTTCCTCCCTACTCAGTTCTTAGTTACTCTCCTTATATCAAAAGAAGACATTTGAAAAAAAAAAAAAGAAAAAAAAAAGAAGACATTTGGCATTTGTTTTTTTAGGGATTGGCTAGCTTCACTTAGCATAAGTCTGATAGAAGAAAAAGCTGGCTCCGATCTACATATTGTGGGGGCTCCAAATTCCTTAATAGGATACCCATAGCACAAGAGTTAATAACAAGAATCAACAAATGGGACTTACTTAAACTAAAAAGTTTATTCTCAGCAAGAGAAACAATAAGAGAGGTAAATAGGGAGCCTACACCCTGGGAACAAATCTTTACTCCTCACACTTCAGATAGAGCCCTAATATCCAGAGTATACAAAGAACTCAAAAAATTAGACAATAAAACAACAAACAACCCATTCAACAAATGGGCCAAGGACCTGAACAGACACTTCTCAGAGGAGGACATACAGTCAATCAACAAGTACATGAAAAAATGCTCAACATCTCTAGCTGTCAGAGAAATGCAAATCAAAACCACCCTAAGATACCATCTCACTCCAGTAAGATTGGCAGCCATTATGAAGTCAAACAACAAGTGCTGGCTAGGATGTGGGGAAAAGGATACACTTGTACATTGCTGGTGGGACTGCAAATTGGTGCAGCCAATTTGGAAAGCAGTATGGAGATTTCTTGGAAAGCTGGGAATGGAGCCACCATTTGACCCAGCTATTCCCCTTCTCGGTCTATTCCCTAAAGACCTAAAAAGAGCATGCTACAGGGACACTGCTACATCGATGTTCATAGCAGCACAATTCACAATAGCAAGACTGTGGAACCAACCTAGATGCCCTTCAATAGACGAATGGATAAAAAAAAATGTGGCATTTATACACAATGGAGTATTACTCTGCATTAAAAAATGACAAAATCATAGAATTTGCAGGGAAATGGATGGCATTAGAGCAGATTATGCTAAGTGAAGCTAGATTTAAGTATTTAAAGCTCAGATTTAAATATTTAAAGTTTAGAATACCACATAATAAAATAACTACTAGCAAAGAATGAAAATGGGAAGATCAGTAGAAAATAACTTTTCTAAATACACAATCTGGATGATAAAAACTGCTAATTTTTAAGCAATTTTCTCTACAATAGTTACATTAAAAAAAAAAAGAAAATGAAATACATACCTTGGAACTGGGGTAACAATTGCTGTACTGTTATTTTCAGGAGGGCTGGAATTTGCAGCGGCATGCCTGCACCGGTTGTATATTGTCTAAAGCAATGAATACATGGTTTAAACAATGAGAATCAAAAAGTTACCAAGTACTCAAGGGATATTAGAGTTGGTAAATCTGCCTACCAAAACTTACCTTCCTGGCTATGCTGTTTAACAATCAAATTCCTAAAATAACATTTAAATTCTAAATATAAGTATAACCTTATACAATTCAGCTGTCTTAAAAATAATATATCTCAAACAAACTGCACAATTAGTTGCTTTCTAAATTGCGAAAATTTGTTTCGCATCTTACCGTACTAACATCCAGAGGCAGTATGAAGACGATAAGAAAGCAGAGATACCAAGCAAGCAGTGTTCCAACAATTACAAGTCTATGCTGTTTCTTAAAGTCTCCGTATCGATGAAGTAGGAATAACGCCAGAAAAAAGACAAAAACAATCTCGAGTCCCAAAGCTGCACCACTCATTATTGAATGTTCACTCTGATGAACCAAAGTTATTCATGTATGCTTCTGAACCATATCTATTCACTGAAAAAAATAAAGAATAAAATGTAGCATTAAAACTGGAAGTGACCATTTGGAAATGTTCTAAATATTTACTAACATATTCATAGCCTCTTTGGAAAACTGTCATGCTTTACATTGGACTATGAATAAGATGAAGAGGATAATTCCTAACATTAAGTCCTATATCTTACTTTTCAAAGCACATCTTAAAATTTTCATATACAGTTGGGCACAGTGGTGCACACCTGTAATCCTAGGGACTCTGGAGGCTAAGGCAAGAGGATCTCAAGTGTGAGGCCAGCCTTAGCAATTTAGTGAGACTATCTCAAAATAAAAAATAAAAAGGGCTGGTTGTGGAACTCAATGGTAAAGCACCTCTGGGTTCAATCCCCAGTACTTAAAAAAAAAAAAAAAAATCACATACATTGTATCTTCATAAAAAAATTTATCTGACAAACGTCACACAAGTTCTTAAAATATTACAAATTAAGAAATTCTCTTTTTATATATTTTTTAGTTGTCAATGGACCATTTATTTATTTATTTATTTATGTGTGGTGCAGAGTTTTGATATAGTGTCATTTGGGAGTTTGTGTCTTAAGTATTGACAGAATATTTTAAACAAACATGCTATCCTAGGAAATTAGGATCCTAGGAAATGGAAATTTAGTAAAATAACGTTTTATTTCTTTCTTTTTTCTTTTTTTTTTTTATTGCAGCAGTTTTATACACTATTTGGGGAAGGCAGGGACTTTACATACATCATAGCATCTCTTAGCAAATCATCACAGACCCTGGGAAAATCATAAAACAACTCTAAAACATGATTAGCACATTCACTGGCAGGAACGAGTTGGGTAGGGGTTAGTACAACAGGTGGAATTCGTTTTCAAATAAAGTTTTCTAAGATGATTCATAGCCCATAATTTAATATTTTCTAAGACAGGAAGGAAGAGAGAGGAACTAATGGGAAGAAACCTTTCCTTTGTTTAAAACATTAGTTTCCTTTTTTTTTTTTTTGCTAATATTTTCTAACAATTCAACTTCAAGAACTTGAAATTTATTTATTTACTGTTTTACAATATTATTTGCCATTTATCTATGTAAACCTTATTTTCTTTAGAGAAAGCCATTTTACCTATTTTATGTGCAAAAAATCATCAATGCCACTGAATAAAATCATACATTTGAAAATATTTTAAAATGTATGATAAATATTGATTATACAGATGTCAGCAAGACTTATTCAATATCTCTCCACTCCTAAATAATTTACCTTTACTAACTGAAGGCAGTTAAATCAATGTTAGGCATATTTGCTTGTCTACGGATGATTACTGATATTTTAACATTGAGAATAAATATCATAATGCCACCCAACAAAATAAAAATAAAGCAGAATTGATAATATACTTCAAGTGTACAAACCTCTCCAGCCAAAACTAGTTATAAGAAGAGTAAAAGTTTGATTACTTTAATGGACTAAATTAACTCTACATGAAATATCACAAAAATCACATTTTAAACTATTTTCTTCACTATTTATTTATGTTGTTGAAGTGACTTCTTTCCATTCATCTACAAATTTAAAACACTAATGTTTTCAGTTTTCCTAAATGTATAAAGTTGAACCCCTTTCATTGTTCTCTATCCCCTTATCTTGTGACATTTTCCCAGTATGCACTTATATCTACCTGATACATGTTCTTTGTATACATTGTCTCCCTTTATTTTTCCTTCCCTAGATTCCAAGACAGTAGCACTTAACTATTTTATCCATACCATATCCTAAGTATCTGGAGTTGTGTTTGGCATATAGTAGGTATTCAAGAAATATCTGTTGAAGGAATAAAAGAATGAATTAAAAAAATTACTGTATACTTTAGTATTTACACAATTTTTTTCTATTTCTGCTCATTTCAAAGGCAATCTTTTTAAAGCAAGAATAGATTAAATATTTTACTGAAAGCTCAAGGTAGAATACACTCATGAAAACTGTTAACCATCTTCAAGATCCAGCTTTAAAAAAAATCATTTAGTGTGAAATTATTGTTTAAGTGCAACATATTTATTGTGTGAAAATCCCTTAGTTTGTCTGAGGTATTTATTTACCTGAAATTGCCCAATGCAAAGAATATGATAATCAAATCATAGGGAAAAAGACTGAATATTATAGATTATGAAAAAAATGCTAAATGATAGCATCTTACTGAAAATCACCCTAATATTAACTGAAAAACTAAATACATGCAATTTTACATAATATGCATAAAAACAATAAGACAACAATGACATAGGAAAAACATGGGCATAAACAAAAAACAAAATCATAGTTATAACTTGCCACTATTACTTTTTTTTTACTATCACTCAGTTTCTCAGTCTGATTCACATTACTTTAAAATGATGTAGACAAATAGAATTATGGATCCTTTATTCTAGTACTAAAGAAATTATTTTGTTATATTACTTCTTATATTCAGTGTATTAATCTCCTATCACTGCTGTAATAAAGTATTACAAACTTAGTAACTTATAAAAACACCAATTTCTTATTCATAGTTTCTGTGGGTCATAAGTTCAAGCACGACATGGCTCAGCTGAGTTCTATGCTTAGGTGTCAGTAGGTTTGCATTCCTCTCTGGAGAAGAATCCATTTCTAAGCTTATTCAGGCTGTTGGTAAATTCAGTTATTTATGGTTATAGAACAGAGATCCCTCTTTCCTTATAAGCTGCCAGTTAGCATTTGTCCTTAGCCAAGAGGACTCTTCCCAGCCTTTTCATGTAGCCCTGTATATGATTTTTAAAAATTATATACATTTAAGGTGTACCACATGATGTTTTGTCAATATACCATAATTAAACTAATTAATATATCCATTTCTTTACATAGTTACCTTTTTCCTTTTCTTCTTTTTTTTCCTTTTGGTGGTCATGTATATCTTAGAGCAATGGCTTGTCAAGTCATTCTCAAAAAGTGATGTCCTCTTTTGCCCTAAGCTGGGAGAGGTTCGCCTTTCAGGGCTCATTTGATAACACTGGATCCATCTGAATAATCTAACTATATTTAATGGTTCCAGAGATTAGGAAATAGACATCACTGTGCCTCTATTATTGTGTTTACCACATTATCTATTTTTCTTCTTTTGTCTTTTTTTAATATTTATTTTTTAGTTGTACACAATACCTTTATTTTGTTTATTTGTTTTTATGTGGTGCTGAGGATCAAACCCAGGGCCTCACACCTGCTAGGCGAGAGCTCTACCGCTGAGCCACAACCCCAGCTCTTCTTTTGCCTTTTTATGACATAGGTGAGGCCTACTGGTCCCATGAAATTGGAGATAAAAACTGGAGTTTCCCTAACTTGAGATGAGAATATAATAGTTTTAAAGTCCATATCTTTGAACTTATATCTAAATTCAAGTGAGGAATTTTTATAGCACAAAATGATAATACTTTCTGGGGTTCCTTATGAATTCCTATATGTTAATTAAAACAATTTTCTATTGAAAGATAGGGGCGTCTTATTCTCCATGTGATTTAGTTATTTGACATTAAATATAATTTCTTGAAAATTTTCAATTAAAGTATAATTTAATAATAAAGATTAGAAAACTCAAGCCTAGATTTAAAAAACCAAAACCTCATTGCTAGAGGGGATAACAACTTGACAATATGTATCGAAAACCTTTTGAAAAGTACATATCCTTTGTCCTAGCAATTCCTTTTCAGATAAATTATTCTCAAAAAAAAAAAAAGATAAAAAAAGATTTATCTTCCATGTTATTTTTCATTACAGCATTAAATATAAAAACAGGCCAACTTAAATATTTGTACTAAATAGTCCATCACCATTGGCCACAGATTTTTTGAGAAAAACAGTCATGGGTTTTAGAACTTATTATCCTGATGCTCTGACCATGACTGACAGGAGCAGGGACCCATGCTTAGTCAAGGGTTACCTAACTATGCAGAGAATGACTAAAGAGAGCACGAGAGTCCCCCACTTAGAAAAAAGAAGAGATCCAGAGAGACACATTAAGAGATATAAAAAGTGATAGAAGTAAGGAGTATACACAAGAAACACACACATATGCATGGACAAACACACACCAAAATGCTGACAGCAGTTGTAACCATGTAGTAAAGAGATGATTTCTAATTTCTTCTTTGTGCTTTCTTGGATCCATGTAGGTTACTTTAGTTTTAAAAAATGGAACTATATTATTTTATAATTTTAAATTTATTTAAAAATCAATGTAGTAATATGAAGGTAAAATACACAGAGAATGAAATTTTTTTGCAGGGTGTTAAGTATCTAACATTACAACTCTTTTAAAATATAAATGTTTTCTTATACCTTAGCAAACCTGGGTTTGAAATTCCAACTCTATTTAGTACTTGTATAACTTTATGCAACTTATGCTGCAAAATGAGGATAATCACCTCACACAGGTTGCTATGAGGATCAAATGATATATAAAAGTAAAACACCATGAAGGAGTTCCAGGCATTAGAATAGGTACAAAATAAATGCTAGCTACTAAACTTTGTTGCTTTTGTATGAAGGGCATTTAGGAGATTAGTTGCCTCAATGATCTAAAAGAGTAGTTTTACCCTAAAAGGTTTACTCTCAGTTCCCTCAAAAAAAAAAAAAAAAAAAAAAAAACTACAAAATAGAGGCCAGGTGCACTGTTGCAGGCCTATAATCCCAGTAGTTTGGGAGGTTGAAGCAGGAGGATTGCAAGTTCAAAGCTAGCCTCAGCAACTTAGTGAGGCCCTAAGCAACTTAAAAAAGATATTTTTTAAAAGGAATAGGGAGCTCAATTCACAATAGCTAAGCTATGGAACCAACTTAGGTGCCCTTCAACAGATAAATAAAGAAAAGGCCAAATGTTCTCTCTGACATGCAGATGCTGAAACACAAAAAGGGAGGAGAAGGGAAGTACAGAAGTTCATTAGATTAGACAAAGGGGAGGGAAGGAAAGGCAAGAAGGATGGGAAGGAGAAAGACAGTAGAATGAATCAGACATAACTTTCCTATGTTCATATATGAATACAAGTCCAGTGTAACTCCACATTATGTATAATCACAAGAATGGGAAGGTATACTCTATGCATGTATAATATGTCAAAATACATTCTATGGTCATATAACTAAAGAGAACAAATAATTTTTTAAAAATCATATTGCAGATAGTATCAATGTTATTCTCCTCCTTTTGTTAAAATACAACCAAAATTATAATAAAGATTATCTGTGGGTGATGGGAAAAAAAGAGGGCTGAAGATGTGACTTAGTGGTGAAGCGTAACTGGGTTCGATTCCCAGTTCCAAAAACAAAAACAAAAATAAACTTAAATAAACCTATGAAATGGTAAGTAACTTTTTATTTTTCAGTCTGGGTTCTCCCATATTCCTATAGAACAAGATATGAGCCTGGCTCCTGTTGTTTTTCTCAACAAATTAGGATTATCTCTTTTGGTCAGCAGGATAGACTAAACAGCCTTTTCATCTGTTAAGAGACAGAACACATCTCAAGAGTTGTGTGGAGAAGGTGTGCCTGACTCATCAATGCTACATAGAAAGAAAATCTCATTCTCCTAGGCACACAATCAAAAAAGAAGTGGACAATTATAAATCATTTGATAAATGGTAACCACATGCAGCTTTGCAAAAATTTTAAGGGCAAAAAGGAGAAATAGGTCTTTGATGACCACAGTAGTTGATTAACATTCTAACATCAACGCAACAAGTAGTTTTACTTAAAAATGCCAATTCACTCATTCTGTCAAATTTTAGTCTCTGACAAGCAGGCAGATCATACCTTCGAAACATCAGTTCCAAAAGCCTAAATCAATAAAATCTAATTCAAGCTTTTTCCAATCATCAAGATATTATTTAATATTACTGTCAAATGCTTTTATTATAGTTTAACAATCAGCTTGCTAATGTTACTTAGAGTACTAGTTCCTTACCCTTTTATGGTTGATAATGATTCTTTAGGCTAATTATACTCCAAATGGAAGATTTAAAGGTTAAGATAATTTTAGAATTTCAAGAACCCCAGTGTTTAAAATGAGAATTGATGAGAATGTAAGCAATGTAACTTACATGTAAGCAATTGATGAGAATGTAAACAAAAAAATGACAAAATTTTTGTCAAAATCAAAGATTTTACAGGGATGCTCTCTTTCACCACTTCTATTTAACATAGTTCTTGAAACACTAGTCAGAGTTATTAAAAGGATGAAAGAAAATTAAAGGATATGGATAGGAAAAGAAGATCTCAAATTTATCACTATTTGCTGATGATATGATTCTATACCTAGAAGACCCCAAAAATTTCACCAGAATACTTCTAGATCTAATACATGAATTCAGCAAAGTAGCAGGATATAAAATCAACACTCATACATCAAAGGCATTTCTGTACATCGGTGACAAAGCCTCAGAAAGAGAAACTAGAAAAACTACCCGATTTTAAGAGCCTCAAAAAAAAAAAAAAAAAAAAAAAACTTGGGAATCAACTTAATGAAAGAGGTGAAAGACTTCTACAATGAAAACTAAAGGATGCTGGAGAAAGAAATTAAAGAAGACCTTAGAAGATGGAAAGATCTACCTTGTTCTTAAATAGGCAGAATTAATATTGTCAAAATGATCATACTACCAAAAGCACAATATAGATTTAATGCAATTCCAATCAAATTCCAAATGACATTCCTCACAGAAAAAGAAAAGGCAGTCATGAAATTCATCTGGAAAGATAAGAGACCCAAAATACTAAAGCAATCCTCAGCAAGAAGAGTGAAGCAGGTGGCATCACCAGACTTTTCA